TATTTTAAAACCTAAGGAAGAGTAAAAAAATAAAGTAAAATAGGATTAAAAAAAAAAAAACACAACTCAACACAAAGTATTGGGATGTACTAGTATATATCAAGGCCCTGAATCAATAGTTTATCCTATTTTGCTAATTAAAAAGAAATTTACCATGCAATAATGCAGAAAAGTTTGTTTCCTTTGCACTTAGGTCATGGACCCACACATTCCCAGAGGAAATAACTAGCATGCAGTTAGCCACCCCTGCCTTCCTACTGCCTTTTTCATTTCCCCTTGGTTTCTGAGTTGTCTTTCTGTATACCCTCCTCCCTCACCATTCTTTCAAGATCCAAGATAGTCCTTCGCTTCTCCAGGCTGTTCTGCCTTTCCTCCTTCAGAGCTCACCTCCGGCAGTTCCCAGTCTCATTAGCATTAATATCTCCAACATCTTGTGGAACCCACGCTAGGATACTGAGCGAGAGGGAACGGGGTGGGTGGAGAGAGGCACATGGGTCCCTGTATACACCTGGTACTTCCTCACCCATTACAGTCCATGACTGTGCATTCACCTCCCTCATTACCACAGCCACCAGGCACAAACAACTCACGTCCCCTGCTGTCACTTTCCCATTGGGTTAGACTGTTCCCTGTGCCAACAGCTAACACTGGCACTCAGCCCCCACGGGGAGTGTCCCTCAGCTCCCCAAGCCATGTCTAACAAACACCAAAAGGCCAATTCCTTGATTTTGCTTCCCCAAATATGACCATCTAGTACCAACCCATTTCCTCCAGAGAATGCAAGAGGTGGGGCCCTCAGAGATAAAAAAGTAGGGATGTTTTTTTCTCATTTTATCTCTTCATATGTATTGATTTCTATGCTGTAATAAAATTCTTTGTTAAAACAAGAATGGCAGTAACACAGCATGCAGGCCTTTTGTCATACTGTACTTTCTCCCATGCCGATATACATTACATTTAGAAGCTACTTGAGACTTTCCCTCTGTAGGCACACACATATACACTCACACATGCACACATGCATGCACATGCACATGAACTCCACACTGAAAAAGGAGAGAAACGCCTGGTAATCCCTTTTTTGGAAAGTGTGAAGGCTTAGAAACAATTTCTCTTCCATCTTGCTCTAAAGAAGAACAGAGTCAGAGGCCAGGGGAAAAATATAAAAGAATGACTTGCTAAAATTAAACTCCACAAGAACCAGGAATCCTTGCATGCTTTGTTTTCTGCTGTATTTCAAGAGCATAAAACAGCATCTGAGACAATAAAGGTACCGCGTCTTTGATGACATGAATAAGTCAACTTCTTAGAGACTACTCTAGAAAGCAGGGTGTGGTCAGGAGTGAGGAAAGAGGAAGCAGTTATGGGGCAAAGGTCAGATTGGAACATTCAAGTGGGAAAAAGGGCCCAAAATGAAAAAGTTGTAAAGACTGAAATTAGTCAAATAGTGGAAAAATTTGAATGGCAGCAAAAAAATGCTGATTTGAAATTCCTTGGCACAACAAATAAGTGATATAGCTAAAAATTATTAGGATTTATGCCATTCTTACTTTTTCCAGCAAGTCTTATTAAATCATTGTTATCTATATGTCTGTATATCGTTATAACATATGGAGACTTCTTTAAAAACTGGAGATTAAAACTATTGAAAATTTTATATAATTCCTTAGGGACATTTAGTAGAATTCAGCTGAAATTGGAAATTAGCATAATTGGAAGTAGAAATTCAGTAGAAATTTTCAGTAGACCAGAGAAAATCCCTTCAGAATTTATTACTTGATATAACTGATTACATTTCATCACAAGCTCTCTAACCACTGGATTTGGAGGAGAGGGGTGCAAAATTACCCAATAGTTTCTCTTTCACTTTAGTTTAGACTCTTCTGAATATTAGTGAAAATTTATATCCATATTTTCTAAAGGAACGAAGCCTGTTCCTTTCCTGTCAGCAGTTCATTCCACTCCTTTTTTCTTTCCAAGTGCCATGCTGATAAAGAGAAGCCTTCTGCCTTGCCAGATCATTCCTTCACCCTCCTCCCACCCACCACCAGCCTAGGCCTTGTCTCAGTGCTCCAACTGGGCCCCAGGCTAGGGTGTTGCTGCCGCCCTGAGGTGGCTCACCTGCCACAGTGGCTCCATGGCCAGCCTGTTGGCTTTGTATCTCGCCTCCCTTCCTTGTTGCCCTCAGGAAGCAGGTGGAAACTTCCAGAGCTCTCGCAACATTATGCAGTCATGGAAACCTGAGCTGCCACAAGCCTCTCCCTCAGCCTAAATATGTTCCCTTACTCCTCCACTCTGGCTCAAAGTTAAAGTAGGCTCATAAGATTCTATTTCAGGATTTTAAAAAAGATAATCACTTTCTGCCTGAGAACCATCTGGCTCAGTGGTTGAGTGTCAACCCAGGAGGGCCCAGTACGATTTCTGGTCAAGGGCAGATTCCTGGGTTACAGGCTCAATCCCTAGTCAGGGGCATGCAGGAGGCAGCCAATCAATGATTCTCTCTCATCATTGATGCTTCTCTCTCCCTCTCCCTTCCACTCTGAAATCAATAAAAAATATATTTTTTAAAGATAATCACTTCCTAATTAGTTTAGGGGAGGATATATAAATTCAGAGCTGCTGGCAGTTGAATTGCCTCAAGTTTTAATCAAGTACATCTCACAGCACAAATGAAATTCTGGCACACAGTATCCTCAATAAGTATCTGAAGAATCAAGGAATGAGGAGACATCTTGACTGAGCATTTAGCCAATAATGAGGAAAGCAAAAGGGGGAGATGGAGAAACTGATTCCCAAGTAACGCCTAGATCTAGCAGTAGGTAAAGCCAATTTTTATCCTTGGACTTTGCAGACACTGATGTATTTGAGTTTCTGTCATTTGCATCTGCGTGATTAATAAAAGGGAATAACTATAATAATTTACACTAATAAATGTGAAATCTATATTAAAGTCATGATTTATAAGGAAAATATAAATTTTCGAGACAGAAAACCCAATTATTTTAGTACTCGTAGAAAAAATTCAATAGACAAAAATCACTATATAATAAAGACTTTATGCAAGACTTTTTTCACCATTTGATGAGGCAAATTTAAATATATAGGTGAAAATTTATCGACAGAAAATAGACAAAAGCACCAGTTTCACCTTACCTGCAAACAGTTCTATCCTAGGAATGAAAGTGAGTCAATAATAACAATGTTTGACTAAAATTCACTGAATTGCAACAATTAAAGAAAATACCGAACTTTTGACATATGCTGAAAATCTTTTTTGTTGTTAATTGTCACCCGAGGATATTTTTTTTATTGATTTTGAGAGTGGAAGGGATGGGAAGAGATAGATATAGAGAGAAATATCAATATGAGGGCACACTGATTGTTTGCCTCCCACACATGCCCTTAATGGAGCTAGGAATTGAGCCTGCAAGTGGAATCAAAACCATGAGCAGCTGATGCTCTATCCATTGAGCCAAACAGGCTATAGCTGAAAAATCTCTTGGTAAATTCTATATTTACCTCTAGTTTAAAAAGTACCAAATTACTAATACAATAGAACTTAACAAAAGGTATCTACCAGAAATTTAGAGCATACATTATCCTTAATGGTGGAACATTAAAAGCATTTTCACTGAAATTAGCAAAAAATTTCTGCTAAGCACTACTATTATTCAACATCATATGCCAGATCATAACTGAAGCAATTCTAACAAAACAATTAAATGAAACACCAATACTAATAGGAAATGAAATCTTACAATTTCAGAAAGTGGGATTCTCTTAGATTTTCTAATACACTGAAACTTCTGCTTATAATTTTAGTGCAACCAAAATCAAAACGTCAAGATATGCTCACCAAAAGCCAAGAGATTTTTAAAAATCATTAGGCTTTCTCCCCCACCATATCTATAAACATACCAGAAAACTATAATAAAAGCAATACATTATTTGAGATATCAATTAAAGAATGCTCTAAAATAAACAGAGTAAAAATGCCCATTCTCACTTCACCTGAAATTTTTACATTAAAATAGTAAGTTTTCACTCATTATATTAATAAAACACTTAAAAATCTAATATCCTTAATGATATGGGGAGAAGGTACTCATTCGTTGCTGAGGAGAAACTATGAATTGTTAATAGTCATTTTAGAAGCCAACTGAAGTATTTCTCTTTAAAACTGCCTAGTCTGGCCCAGCAATTCAAAAGCTAAGCATGTACTATAGAGAATTTTTTTACTTTTTATTTTCCAACTAGAGGCCTGATGCATGAAATTCATGCAAGAGTAGGCCTTTCTTCCCCTGGCTGACGGCACTGGCTTCCCTCTGGCACCTGGGACCCGGGCTTCCCTCACAGCTCCAGCTGTCGGGAAGGACATCCGGTCTAATTAGCATATTATGCTTTCAATACAGACTACAGTTTATGTTCACTATTATTCTGTATTAGTTTCATGTGTACAGCAGTGATTAGGCAATTGTGTACAAAGTGGTCCCCCTATCTCAAGTACCCATCTGGCACCATAGTTATCTTATTCTCTATGCTGTAATTTACATTTCGGAAACAACCAATTTGTACTTAAGCCCTTCACCTTTTTCGAGACCCCCAAGTTCCTTCCTCTCTGTCAACTGTTTGTTCTCTGTATCTGAGTCTGTTTCTATTTTAGTTTGTTCCGTAGATTTTATATGTAAGTAAAACCATATGATTTTTGTCTTCCTCTGTCTGACTTATTTCACTTAGGATAATACCCTTTAGGTCGATCTATGCTGTTGTAAAAGGTAAGATTCCTTTTTGTTATGGCTAAGAGGTATTTCATTGCATGTATGCACCCAAATCTTATATGCAGAAAAAATAATATAGGATGACAATCTTTGAGCACTGTTTGTTACTAGAAAAAAGGAAAAGAAATCTAACCTAAGTTTCCATTATAAGCTATATAGGTTGTGGACTACTACACAAAAGAGATAGGATTATGATGAAATAAAAGATACCAAGTAGAAAAGTTGCTAAATGATACACATATATGTAAAAAACAAGAATTACACACATTTTATTTCATGTGGCTATACATAACATCTATATGCATTCATAGAAAAAGGTATAAAAAAAGGTATAGATGGAAAGTCAAAAATTGTTACTTCTAGAGGGGGTATTGAGATTGAAGGTCAATGTAAAAATATAGAACTGTCTCTGATGTTTTTACAAGTCAAATGCCATATAATACATTTGTAATTTAAATTTTAAAGGAAAAGCAGTATGCAAAAACATGTATTTTCAGAAAAAATATACACACAAATTATACTTTGTATTTCCTTCTTTTTCCCTTCCCTGGTGGCAAACACATAGGAAAGGTTCTAGAGTACCTAAAAATGAGGATGTATATAACACTGTCTGAATAAGATAATATCTCAAATAAAAACACTCAACTTCTATATTCTCATTTGAAGAGAAAAAAATTTCAGTTCCAGATTTATAAAAGCAATGCAATTTGTTTAGAGCTCTTATTTTGTTTCAGTCATTTATAATTTTCACATGGTACATGCTTATATTTTGGAATTTTGCCACTTTACTATATAGTATTGGGCCAGAGGGAAATACAATTTCTAAAGTTAGAACTTAAGTAATTATTAGTATTTTGACCAGTGGCTGTAAGTTTACAAGCACTTCTAAAAAAAAACCAAAAGCATAAAACCAGATTGGCTTATTTCTTTAGCAGTTTATTAATTCTACCTTATATACTGAAACTAGATGCTTGATAAAAGTTATCATTGACAACTCCTTAAGAGGATTGTTCCTTCTGATATTATTCTGTAAAACCTTCTTACCCTAATGAGAATTATATTGGCATTCAAATACAACCAGGTGAATTTTGTGAATTACACTACTTTTAAGTATGTCAACTAAAAATTATTTTTACTTATTTTTTTCTTTCTTTTTAAAATATTTTTATTTCAGAGAGGGAGAGTGATAGAAACATCAATGATGAGAGAGAACCATTGATTGGCTGCTTCCTGCACTAGGCATGTGCCTTTGCAGAATCGAACCTGGGACCCTTTAGTCCACAAGTCAATACTCTTATCTAACTGAGCCAAACCAGCTAGGGCTAAAAATTGTTTTTAGAGCACTGTGCTTTTAAGAATTGCTTATTTTTAATTTACATATTGCTAGAGTTTTGAACCATGAGAGGAAAATAATGGTGAGAAAGGAGGAATTGCCAGAGCTATCTGGTTTCACAATGGTGATGAGAGAAAAGTTGAGTCAGCAGTTTCTTTCTAATTAAAGAGGTCATCAGTAAGGAAGAAAAACCTTTGAAGGATATCTTGAATGGAATTTGGAATTTCCCTCATCTATCTGAGGTATCTGTTCAACTGTCTACTATAGTAATTTGCCAAGTCAAAGTGCCTCTCACATTCCTAAAAGAACATTTAGAAAGGTTACAATGGAGAGAGCACTAGGGCAGTGTTAGAAAACCTGGCTCTGACACTGAGGTTGCAAGCTGACATTAGCAGATTTCTCTTCTGATTAAAAGAGGGCTGCACTAATGTCTGACAGCCTCCCAGCTCTAAGATCAATGATCCCCATGTTCAACAAAGGCCACCAAGAAAGGAAACACACCTTTTTACTTCATATCACAAAGGTGTTTTTATAACTGTACTAGAGGCCTAGTGCATGAAATTTGTGAACTTGGGGGGGGGGGCGTCTTTCAGCCTGGACTGAGCCCTCTCCCAGACTGGGAGCCCTCAGGGGATGTCCGACCGATGACTTAGGCCTGCTCCCCTAAGCCCTCAGTCAGACATCCCTCTGGCAGTCCAGGACCTCTCACTCCTTACTGCCCCCTTGCTCGCTACTCCTTTCTGCTAGGCTCACTGCTCCTTAGCACTGTGGTGGAGGTGGAGAGGCTCTTGCCACCACCATTGCGCCCGCCAGCCATGAGCCTAGCTTCTGTGGGAGCACACTGATGACCAGGGGGCAGCTCCTGCATTGAGTGTCTGCCCTCTGGTGTTCAGTGCACATCATAGCAATCGGTTGTCCTACTGTTTAGTCAATTTGCATATTAGCTTACTATATAGGATTATAGATCAGTTTTATCTTCAACATGATTAAGCAACATTTTACATGAAATAGCCAGAATCTCATATGCTATAAATATTCAAAAAAAAACCATGAGCTTGTAAGGACAATTAAAAAAAAAAAGTCATACCTAAGTAACTAATGTGAAGAGGCTCAGAAAATAAATTATTTGAGTAGATTCTTTAAGTTTTTAAAATGAAAGGCTGGTATCATTATATTTCAAGAAAGTATTTACCTTTTAAGTGGAAAATGATTGACTAGTCAGTAATGCTACTAGCATTTATTTTCTCTTACAATGAAACTTGAAAAACAAAATATGAGTTAAACTGAACCAATTTAATATAAAAGTCTTCAGTTTATAAAAGCCACAAATTTGTTTTTATTGTAACAAAGCACTTTTAATATAATTTAAAATGCACATGCTTTGATTGAAGAGTGATTGCAAATGAATCCAGTTTCCTTCCACCTGGGATGACAACTGTGTCATTTCTTCTAGAAGTTTTGGCTCTGAAGGAAGCATTTTAAGGTGCAACTGAAGAAAAAAAAAATAGTTGAACATTTAAGAAAATTAAATTTTGTTTATTCTGGACTCAACATATTTACTAAGAAATGTCAGAAGACACCATTCTGAATATTTTTTTCTTAATTGCTGATTTGTTACCATCTCCCACTTCCTTCTCCTCTAACAAACTTTTCTTAGTTTGAGTTCCTTTATGTATTGTCACTCCCTTAGCAGAAGAGAAGTGTTCCTCACTCCCCTCCACTAAGAATAGTCCTCAAACAGACCCTGAAGAAAGGACACAGTTCTCACACTAAGTCCTCTTCCTGTGCTTCTTTAAGTCTCTCCTTCAATTGTATAATAACCACTGCTAATGGATGCGGATGGGCTCTTTATTTTGTTTTCTAAAGATTTAAGTAACTTTTTCTTTTTTTGATAAATTTGGGGAAGGATATAGAAACAGTGGCATTTCTATTTTTTTCATACCACATGCTACCAATTAAGTATCTACTTTATAAATAATTTTCAATAAGCAGATCAAGTGAAAAGATTTTATATATTGATGAAGAATCATATCTGCTATCATTGAATATCAGCATTATCTATCTTCTTCAATCCATTAACTACTGAAATTAACATGAGAGCTCCATTATATTAATCATGATAGCAACTCTGTTATTGCCAAATCACTTGAAACTCCATCAACCAAAAGAAAATATTTTTACCTTAGCATAGAAAAAAAAAACAAAGCAAAAAATGAATGTAAAACCTAACTTTCTCTTCATAATCACAGAAAGACAGCCAAAATGTTACTTAAGAAGTTAATAGATGTCATAAAAAATTCACAGTGAGTTAAAATTCTTCTGAGTAAAAAATTTAAATAAATAAATAAATCAGCTGCCCAGTATGGTAGTCATGAGGCACAGATGACTGTTTAAATTTAATTAAATTCCCAGAAAATGAAAAGTTTTGTTTCTCAGTCACATCAGCCACACTGAAGTGCTCAGTAGCCACATGTGACAGACAAATGGCTGCCATGCCAGACAGCACAGGCATCGAACATCTCCATCTTTGCAGAAAGTGCAATGAGAAAACACTGCTTCAGAGGAAGGCAAGCTGGGAAGAACTGTCTTACATTAGACTTACCTTTAGAAACAATGCAAGGTATGCCTGGGCTAACTCAAAATCACGCTTTCGATCCAACATCATTCCGATCATTTTTAAGAAACTCTGCATAACCTCTACAGACCCGCCACATTCAGGAGACAAGCTCCGCAGCTCTGTTTCAATTCCCGATGGACCTAATTCTTTCAGAAGGTTAAGAGCAGCATCATCTGTATTAAGTTTTAAAAAGAATCCAGTTATTACCTACATCAGTTCACTTAGGAAACTAGTTTTTCCACTTCATACCTCAAGCAACATACACATAAATTGCACAGGGAATTCTTTCTGTGGGTTATTTTTTTCTGTTAAGTAGTAGAATAAACCAAATTAAATAAAGCCAGTACTGTAAGAGCTGTAAACACTTACTGTTTATCATTACTAGCTACATACTATAGCTTTCAAAAAGATAAATCTATTATTAACAAACTCAATAAATTTTAAAATTATCTTTTGATGAGATAATTTGGGAATATCTAAAATCATTGAAGACAAAAGTCTCTGTTATATTCCCAAACTGTATGGCAAACTGTTTTTGTAAATAAAAACAAAAGCAAAATTTGAAAATAAAAAAAGCATTAAGAAAATACTATTCTAAATATAAGTATTATCTTAGTTTAGTGTCACTCATCTATAATAATAAAAGGATAATATGCTAATTAGATTGGACGTCCTTCCGGACGAAGCCGGGGACAGGGGGAAGCCAGGTCCCGGGTGCCTGGAAGGCCTGAATTGCATGAATTTCATGCATCGGGTCTCTAGTTTAATATAACAGTAGAAAAGCTAAAGTTGCTTGAGAATCAAACCCAAGTTTCAACCCTTTTAAGTTTTACTATCTTCTTTTAGCTACTGAGAAACCTGCTAATATTTCACTCAATTTCTTTTCATAGAAAGTAAAATAAGCTAAAGATACTTGGTAAATATTTTATAATTTAACTTACATTTATTATTCACGAGTCCTTCTTCAAGTTTCAAGAAGAAATCTGATTTTTGAGCCAAAATTCCAAGATGTACCACTTTAGACTTAAAAATAAATACACATTATTCAAAAAACACAAGTGTAACAAAAAACATATATAGTCTATAATTAAAATCTATCATTAATTTACTCTATATGCATAAAACCGGGTGTTGGTAAAAAAAAACAAACACAAAACTACAACTGTATAATAAAAACACACTCACACACACAGTTAGAATGCTCCAATTTAGTTTTTACCTGCTGTGGATCATTATTTTGTTCAGGCACAGCATATCTGGGTACAAGGCCAGGAACTGTTGGTATAAAAAATGGTGCTGACTTGGGTACTTTGGGAGGTTCCTTTGGTTTATTCTTTTTCTGGGGAAAAAATAAAAGAGAAAGAGAAAAAAATAAAAAGACAATCAAGTAATCATCTGGCTAACAGTTACTAATATTTAATTCTCAAGAAATTTTTTTAAAAGTTCAAAAAGGAATGAAAAATTTTCAGATTAGAATGTTAAAATAAAATCCCATCAATCAATATCACAGATATCTTTAAAGTGAGTTTCCCAATGCAAATCCCCAGAACCCCTGCTAATAAGGCAGAAGAGAAATGACAGGGTTCAGGAGAAACCCTACAACAGTGGTCGGCAAACTGCGGCTCTTTGGCCTCTTGAGTGTGGCTCTTCCATGTGCAAATGCGCACATACAGTGCAATTGAAACTTCGTGGCTCGTGCACAGAAGTGGGTTTTCAGCTCCAAAAGAAATATCAATCGTTGTACTATTGATATTTAGCTCTGTTGACTACTGAGTTTGCCAACCTCTGTCTTAGGACACCTCATTTTCCTGAAACATGAATATTTAGGTGAAGAAATAATAATCAAACACTTATAAAATTCTTTAATATTAAAATATAATCTTTTTATCAAAATGGGCTAGAAAGCAAAATTTACTAGTGCTAAATATTTTCCCAGAGCCCAGAGCCTTTAGAATTAGGTGTGATATTTTTGTGAAGCTTATCCCTAATTCTTCTACGTTGTTGAAATTTTTTATTTTTCCTAACCAATCCTTTTTTTTAATTAGCAAGAGAATACTATTTGCCTATTTATAAAATGTTTCAAGTGTTAGTAAAATTCAATCACGAAAATCACTATCGGATTTCCCACCAACAGAATTTAATTTTGATGACTACAAGTTACACACCACTATCTCAAGAGCATTTGATAGAGGCTTTGCATGGTAAACTGCCTGATAGAGGGGTCTCACAATTTTACCTCCCACTATTCTCTTCCATTCCAGGTGCTCTGTAACCTTAGGGAGATTTGTTTTTTGAAAGAAAACTAGGGATATTGGTGGCCCTAAAGAGGAATGGAATAAAAGGAAGTTACTACCTGAAAACAGAATAAAGTACTGCTAAATTACAGGATAAGTACAGCCTTCTTTGAGGAATAAGAGTCAGTTTCACTTCCTACTCACTGCTACAGAGTGATAAGGGAGACAGTCCATGAACTGTAAATAAAAATAAAAGGCTTTGGAGGAGCACCACAGCGCTCTGGAGATTATACATCTCCTTTGGAAAACCAAAAGTATAAAAATTGCCACAAAACAAATATAAAATTCTAACATTTTTCACCCAGTAGGATATAAAAATATTGGAAGTGAGCATTTCTCTCATAAAATCATTCACTCATGTTTTTATTTAAGTCTTTATGCAGAACAAACTATGTCTTAGCAAGGAACACAGTAGTCCAAAAACTTAGCTTATTAATTGGGCATTACTGATTGCTCCCTTCACTCATCTACTACTTACATTTTTTTCATGTGTCATTTTTTCCCCTCAAGTTACTTTTATTTATTATTTATTTATTTTTAAATATATTTTATTGATTTTTTTACAGAGAGGAAGGGAGAGGAACAGAGTCCAGAAATATCAATGAGAGAGAAACATCGATCAGCTGCCTCTTGCACACTTCCCCACTGGGCATGTGCCCGCAACCAAGGTACATGCCCCCAACCAGAATCGAACCCTTGAGTCCACAGGCCAATGCTCTATCCATTAAGCCAAATCTGTTAGGACTCATGCGTCGTTTTTAAAGCTAGTCCATGGAGCACTACCTTTAGCTGACATAGACTGGGCAATAGCTTAGAGGAAATTTACATGTGAAAACTTTTCTTACCCAAGACACTCATATCTGTTTGGGTACTAAGTTATTAGTAACAAAACACTTCTACTTTGGCATAGTTACGGATGTCCTTACACTTTTATATAGCCAGCCCACAATATGACTTGCATACATATGACCTCTAGTGAATTTATGTGTGTATCTAGTGAATTTATGTGTGTATCTTACCAAACCAAGCTTCATAATCAATGCTTAGCATTATCACAGGATGGCCTCTATAATTTTCTACTCTAGTCTATTCCTCTCAATTGTTTTCACTACTCATAAATGAGGATCATGAAACATGCTTTGAAAAACACTAATATATTATCTATTTTTAATGTAAAATATAATTTCCTCAAATACAAAGGGACCAGGTTTTTTCCTTTGGCACTGTCACAGGACATTGCCTACTACCTAGTTCTTATTAACTTACATACCTGGATCCAACACAGCAAGCTCTAAACATCTTCTTATCGTTGGCAGAGTAGCATACAGAATAATAAATGGTAGTTAAAGCTTAATTTTTAAAAGACTAGTGAAAGTCTTTTCATTTCCAAATGACTAGTGATAGATATCACACGTGGTGGCAATATTTTTTTTTCTTGTTTTAGAAGTTAAAAAAGTAGCAGAGTCGAAACCAGTTTGGCTCAGTGGTAGAGCATCGGTCTGTGGACTGAAAGAAGGGTCCTGGGTTCGATTCCGATCAAGGGCATGTACCTTGGTTGCGGGCATATCCCCGGTAGGGGGTGTGCAAGAGGCAGCTGGTCGATGTTTCTCTCTCATTGACGTTTCTAGCTCTCTATCTCTCTCTCTTCCTCTCTAAAAAATCAATAAAATATATTAAAAAAAAAAAAAAAAAAAAAAAGCAGAGAGGCTGGATTAAAAACATCACATTTCTAATAGCTCTGCAGTTGTAGGCTGTACTTCTGCTGTATCCAAAGGTCTGTTGAATGGTCTCAAAATTAATATAAAGAGAATTCTGGATAATCACACTAGATTAAACAGGATTCAACTAAATGGCATGCTCTTAGGTATTAACTGTTCCTCCTAAAGCTTTCAATGTAAGGAAAGCTATTTCTACTACAGAAATTGCTTCTGGAATGTGTCTTTAGGGTGAATATTCACTGTACTATAGTAGTACCTTAATAACATCAAGATTAAGAAGGTTTTTCCACCGTGATTCAGGAAGGAGGGATAGAGTCACCAACTGCTCATTCAACTGTTCTGGAGAATCATACTCTATCATTTCATCACTTGGTTCTATGGTTTCTTCTGATAATTCTACATCTGAAAACAAAGATTGAGAGGGGGGTAAAAAAAAATTAACACAGAATAGTATTTTTATCAGGTAAAAGAAATTCAATTCAGCCGAAACCGGTTTGGCTCAATGGATAGAGCGTCGGCTTGGGGACTGAAAGGTCCCGGGTTCGATTCCGGTCAAGGGCATGTACCTTAGTTGCGGGCATATCCCCAGTAGGGGGTGTGCAAGAGGCAGCTGATCGATGACTCTCTCTCATTGATGTTTCTAACTCTCTATCTCTCTCCCTTCCTCTCTGTACAAAATCAATAAAATATATTAAAAAAAAAAAAAGAAATTTAATTCAGACCAAATCTATTAGTATTTCATAACATGTTTACTCAATATAGATTTGTTAAACTCTTAATTTCCTCATCTTCTCATTATTAACTATAATTCCCATCACAAGACCTAAAACACTTCTCCCTAGTACCACTAGATAATCTTATCAATCACATTTTTGTGAAAATTTATGAAGTCATTCAAAATATTTCATATCAGTTAAATAATACTCTGATTGAATAGAATAAACTTTGCCTTCAGTAGCAATACCCCCATTTAGGTTTATGATATTATACTTCAAAAAATTACTATTTTGTGATTACCTTCAGTTTGACAAGTTCCAGGAAGCATCACTACTGAAGGAACATAATCTGTGGGAAGTGGCCGTAATGAAACAACTGAATACAGGGAAATATTGGACCTGAGAAATAAAAACATAGGCCATATTTTAAAACTTATAAATATAGTTTTTTGGGGAAAAACTTCAATTACTGGTCTAAAAAACAAAAAAACTTCAATTACTCTATAATCTTGAATTTGGCTATAGATTCCAAATCATGTACAAATTAAAAATAACCTCAAAGATAAATAAAATAGTATTAATTTGAAAATGTCTTGATTCATGTCATTGATGTTACAAGAAGCTGTGCATAAACACTATTAATGTAGTACACGAAAGTATTTGAGAGATCAATACTAGGTAGTACTTTTATAAAGTAACATAATCTCCATATCCTTATATTGTTTTGATAATTGTCAACCTTCAGTTAAGCAAATAATATCTAACTGAAGGAAGAAAAGACTCAGAGAGTTAAGTCAGATACAGAATAAGATAATCAGATCCTTGAGATTGTAAACAGTCATGGATTTCTCCTTCCCTAGAATGGCCCTCTAAGTGGCCATGTTCCCGATACCTTGACCCTGCACCATGACCTTGGATGACTAATCAAGATGTAGCTTCCTATCCCAAAGTGAGTTAATCAGATTCTGTTTTCCATACATAATGAATTTAGAATGAAAAATAAAAGTTGGGGAAATCAGATTCTGAACTATATTAATAGTGATACTACATAGCTACTAAGGTTCCATAGCTATTATTTTTCTCTTATCATGATTGTTCAAGCTTCACAGATTCCAGGAGATACTCCATTTTGCTTATTAAGGTGGCCAAAATGTATTTCAATCACATACTGAATTTATTTTTTTGTCATAAAAATTTAATTAGAAAATTTTATAATTGGAAAAAAAGGGTAAGTTTTTTTTCTCTTCCTCAATAATTAATAACAGTTAAAAGACATAGACATCTGGCTGAAACCGGTTTGGCTCAGTGGCTGGAGCATCAGTCTGCGGACTAAAAGGTCCCAGGTTCAATTCCAGTCAAGGGCATGTACATTGGTTGCGGGCACATCCCCAATGGGGGTGTGCAGGAGGCAGCTAGTCAATGTATCTCTCTCATCGATGTTTCTAGCTCTCTATCCCTCTCCCTTCCTCTCTGTGAAAAATCAATAAAATGTATTTAAAAAAAAAAAAAAAGGCATAGATATCTGACCTTAGGAAATAACCAACACTTTTTCTCGGCCCAGATGATGGACCGTTTACCTTGACCTCTTACATGTTCATCACAACGGAGTTGGGTGTGAAGAGTTATGCAACTAGAACGATCTTAGCAAGCATCTTTCCCAAACACTGCCTTATAGGTAAAGTAGTCTGAAGTTTACAAGTGACTCACTAAGGTTATAAAGCAGTATTGGGATAGTGGCAGAAGGGCCAGGACCTGGTTAGGGAATCCCATTTTTCTAGCATTTTAAAATTCACATATCTTTTCTACAAAATATAAGCTAAATAAGATAACAGATAAAAATCAATTGTGTGGTTGAGCAAAGTTCTCTAAATTATCAAGCAGATGTTGAATCAGCCAAAAACTTATGGTAAATTAACCCTCTGGCAACAATGTGACATTTCCATTTTATAAATTAAAAAAAAGCTGATGTTAGCAACTATGGCTGTCTGACAATATCATCTTCCTTCTCCTCTTTACCCCAAACAGAACTATATGAATGAACTCACCACAGATAAATTCCAAGGTGGTCCACATGGGAAGTGGCCAGAAAGTCTCCGGTAGGGGACATAGTAACATTGAGAGGAGCCGAGTCCAGCAGAAAGCTGTCTATAAGGCTACAAAAGGATCAAGATGTTAGACTCTACCAAAACATTTAATTCACAAATATATTTTTGCTAAATAATATGAGATAATACAGAAAAGTTTCATTTTTATTTTTTAATAATCACCAATACCAGAAAGGCATCAATAACAAAGATTTGTCAGTAATGTTACTATATGAAAATTACCTCTCTTAATGAGAATGACCTGGAAAATCAAACTGATCAATGAGCCAGAGAGAGGTTCACCAGGAAGAACACAGGAGGAAATGCTCTTTCTGGAATGCCATTTTGGTAGACTGAAGAGAACATTTCTGAAGATGTCACACAATTAAATAAATCTAATTATCAGTACTCTCTGGTATTTTTGTTATCCCAGTGAAAATAATAAAAGTCTTAGGCAACAGAAGAAATTAAAATAAAATGACTATAAATAAGAAAAAGAAAACAGTAATGGAAAAAACTTGAACAAGTCTGTTTTTCAAATAGGTAACTACACTACACATGAAACATATGAAAGAATTCAGGCTACAGACCATAACCATAAAGCAGTGTATAAAAACTAGTCTCACAGCTTGAAAAGTTGGAGGGGTTGAAAAGCTGGGGAGGGCCGAAACCAGTTTGGCTCAGTGGTAGAGCGTCGGTTTGCATACTGAGAGGTCCCCGGTTCAATTCCGGTAGGGGGCATGTACCTTGGTTGCGGGCACGTCCCCAGTAGGGGGTGTGCAAGAGGCAGCTGATCGATGTTTCTCTCTCATCGTCGTTTCTGGCTCTCTATCTCTCTCCCTTTCTCTCTGTAAAAAATCAATAAAATATATTTAAAAAGTAAAAGAAAAAAAAAAAAGTTGGGGAGAAAGGGGGAGTGATCACCCCCCAGTAGGAGGCTCAGTGTAGGCGTCTCAGAAAACACAGTTGGAGGTGAGCCTTCCAAATGGATACGATTCAGTGGATGTTGATGGCAGAGAACGCGTGTCCTGGCTGAGGGAAGTGTGGAGGGCAAGGCGAAGGAAAACACAACCGAGTTTAGTGAGAGTGCAGCTGCTACTTAAGCATATGGCTACATACAGGCTCTTGAATACAAAACACCTAAGTTTGTTTTTACTTTAATCAATGAAAAGTCACTGCAGGCTTGTGAGCAGACAGTAATATAATCTTCACTTTCATAAAAGATCTGCCATCAGAATGCAGAGTATATGTGAACAGAAAGAAGAGTGAAAAATTATGCTAGCAGTCATCTAATAGCATTAAAGATCTGAACTAGGATGGTGATAGCAGGAAGTGACATGAGTGAATTTAATGAGCAAAGAGAAAGATCTGCAAAGGAAGCTTCTTAGGTTGGCTAAGTGTGAATACTTTGTGTACTTTTAGAGAAATATACTGTTTTAATTATAGCTATTTTAACAACTATTTTATTCACTGAAAGCAGTACATTATCCATGGGAAACAATAAAAGGACTGAAGTTCAGAATCTACATTAAATAAAACATTATTTCAAGAAAAATAATAATAGCCGGCACCGGTTTGGCTCAGTGGATAGAGCGTCGGCCTGCGAACTGAAGGGTCCCGGGTTCGATTCCGGTCAAGGGCATGTACCTTGGTTTGCGGGCACATCCCCGGTGGGGGGTGTGCAGGAAGCAGCTGGTCGATGATTCTCTCTCATCGACGTTTCTAACTCTCTATCCCTCTCTCTTCCTCTCTGTGAAAAATCAATAAAATATATTTAAAAAAATAATAATAATAATAGTCTACAACTTTTTTTTAGTATTCCATGCTAGGAAGTATCCTGAGCCTTTGAGTCTACTAACTGAATCCTCACTACCCTATGAGGCAGATCTGTCTTTATTATATAAACTAGATACTCGGTGCACGAAGATTTGTGCAAGAATAGGCCTTCCTTCCCTGGCTGCCAGCACTGCTTCCCTCCAGCACCCAGGATCTGGGCTGCTTTGCTCTAACCACAGCCAGGCATCTGGGACTGGGGCTGTTTCACTCCGGCAGCTGCTGCCATCCACTGGGGGCGTGCTCTGAGCCACACCATGGCCACTCAGAGCATGCCCCCTCCCCTGGTGTCCGCTGAGGCTGGGGGCAGCACGCAGTCGCCTCTCAGCCTCTCAGTGTGTAGCTTGGCCTGAGTGATTGTGATGCAGCCTCCTCCTGAGCCCATCGTGACTCCCGGCTATTTTGCATATTACCTCTTATATATATATATGTATATATATATGTATGTATGTATGTATATGTATATGTATATGTATATGTATATATCAGAAAATGAGGCCCAGTAAGATTTAAAAACTTGCTCAAGGTAGAAAATTGAGCCAAGAATGTCACATAAGCAGTCTGTACTCTTAATCACTATAAACTCAGTAAAACCACTGGTGATACTAAAATATAACAAGCAGCTCAACAGCACATTTACATGCTGGGAATGTCTACACTGGTGATTCATAAGCAGCACAGATGTGAATAAAGTCTCTCCAGTGGAGACATTAAGTGACTTTTCCAAAATAAAATCTCTTGTCCTAGCCAGTTTTGCTTACTAGATAGAGCATTGGCCCATGGACTGAAGGGTCTTAGGTTCAATTCCAATCAAGGGCTCATACGTAGCTTGTAGGCATGATCCATGGCTGTGGTTTGGGTGCAGGCAGGAGGCAACCAATCAATGTGTCTCTCTCACATTGATGTTTCTCTCTCTCTGTCCCCCTTTCTAAAAATCAATGGGAAAATATCCTCAGGTCAGGATTAATTAAAAAAAAAAAATCTCTCAATTTGTTCAGAGTATAATTAATACTGTAAAACTTAAATAACGAATGATAAGAAAATAAGCCTTAAAATTAGGAACACTGGAAACACACACCAAAGTGAGCTTAGGGCAATGACTAGCATTTAATTCTTATTTATGGGGAGAAAGGTGACTAATAACCCATCTGATTTCTGTTCAAACTTACTCTGGAAGCTCACAAGAATGCCCTCTCTTGAGAACCAAGAGAATTGGGGAAAATAAAACTTTGGTAAACAATTATTATATACCAAAGACTGTTAAGTTGTTTATGTTATCTAACCCAAACAACCCAGCGCAAAAACATTACTCAATGTATATAGATGAAAATTAAGCATAAGCACAGCAGTTTCAGACCTTACCATTCCTTGTCTTGACCAATATTTGTGCATTAACCATGTGAGGGGTGAAATGTCCTAACATGTGTGCTAAAAAGAGAATCTAAAATCTGCTTGAGCAAATTTATTTTATATAATACTATAATTATTTTGTCAAATTCATTGTGCAACTTGATTCCACAGCTGTTGTGTGGGGGTAGACAAACCTTCCGTTATGTAAAAGCATCAAATTGAGGAAGATGATTTCTACATACAAAGCATATTTTACATGGCCATCTTAATTCATAAAGCATAAGTGTGCAGGCTTAATCCCAGACTTAACTACTATATAGTCCCTGCCAAGGTCACAGAATGAAAAGTCCCAGATAAGATATATACTTTTTGAGAGAACATTAATAAAACCCTCACTGTAGGATATCATATTTTCAAGCACAGAGCCCTGTATACTAAGTCATTTCTGGTTATATCAGGGGTGGGACACCTATTTTCTGCCAAGGGCCATTTGGACATTTATAACATCATTTGTGGATCAAACAATATTGTCAACTTAAAAATTAGCCTGCTATATTTGGTTAAACATTTAATTAACTCACTCCTAATGCCTTGCCAGGGCCAAACCAAATGATTTCAAGGGCCTTATACAGCCCACAGGCCAGATGTTCCCCACCCCTGTGTTATATCCTGAACAAATGCAGACAGTGTGTAGATGATCAATTTCCAAAGTGATGGAATCACCATACACAAAAATCTTTAATGAGTAGAAGAAAGGGATGGTTTTGCCTCAGGGAGAAATGCAAAATAACATTCTATTCCAATTATTCTCATATAATGCTCCTCAGAAAACAGCAATGAGACAGAACAAAATGCAAAATTCTATTAAAGCTGCACAGCTGGTGTGACTCAGTGGTTGAGCATTAGCCCATGAACCAAGAGGTCACAGTTCGATTCCGGGGCAAGGCACATGTCCAGGCTGTAGGCTTGATCTCCAGCAGGGGACATTAAGGAGGTAGTGGATTGATGATTCACTTTTATCATTGACTAGAGGCCCAGTGCATAAAAATTCATGCACTGGGAGGGGGGGTGGCCCTACCACCCCAGCGGGGCTGAGAGGATTGGGCACTGCCATCTTTGAGAGTGTGGCATAATTAGCATATTCCTTCCTTACTGGTTGTGGGCACCGCCATCTTTGCGATGGCATGAGTGTCAATTAGCATATTCCCTCTATTAAATAGGATGTTTCTCTCTCTCTCTCCCTCTCCTTTAATCTCTCCAAAATTAATAAAAACATTTTTAAAAAAAATCTATTAAAGCTATTTTATACTTTTCTCATCTCCAAAAGTGTTCAACATGAATATCCAGTAAATTGAAAAAAGAAAGAAAGAAAGATGATAGTGGTAGGGAATGACAAAAAATTTCAACTCTGCTCCTTTGAGGACCCTACAAAATAAGAAAACTTTCTCTATTTTAAAACAACTTTACAGGAAACAGTTCAGTGCCTATGCAATTGTTTTAGATAGGCACAATTCCAGGTAGATACATCTGTATGTTACAACACCCAAAGGTTTACTCATAAAGTTTCACTTTACAGACTATGTAATGAGCATATTCATTCTTTAAATATTTAACATGCTATATAAATGACAAAGTTGCATACTTTAGAAAGAACTAGGAATCTCCAAAGATTGTTATACAAATTATGATATAAAAACAGAGGAATCAAAAACCCCAACAATTATATATGGGTGTATGATGAAACACTAATCCTCACTTCCTTATTATCTTCTACATCAAGAAAATTAGTTCATTCTTAAAAACATGACACAGCCCAAGCAAGGTGGAAAGCACAACTGTTGGGAAATGTTTTTTCCTCCAATGCTTATTGCAGCAAAATGTAATTTATGAAATATGCCACCATGGGCAAATCACGTCGCTTCTCTTCGAGCTTCCATTTCCTCATTTGTAAAATGGAACTAATAACAATAATAGTACCTACACCCATTCAAATATGAGGGAAGATGAAAAATAAAAGTATATAAAGTGCTTAGTAGCTACTGGTAAATGGTAATTTAGTTGCAATTAGATAGCAGCAGTTGTGTGACATGGCTTTTCAAGCTTCCTCATTTACTCCATTTCCATTCTTAACCAAAGTAGTCCTTATTTTTGTCTTTATTAAAATTAGGCTTTGGTTCAATCAGTATAGATATAATTATTTTCTTTTAATAATCCCTTTGTGACTCATTTCTTGTTTTTGTGTCTCTGCCAACTTCATGCCTTTGTATTCGTTTAAAATTGTCCAGTGTTCACCTAAAGATATCAGAATCAAAAATTTATCAAATTTAAATCTGCTCAACTTTTTACTGAAATAAAAGATTTAGCAGAAAGACTAATGCTGAGTCAAAGACTGATAGATTTAAATGCTTCTAGATCCTATTTTTTCCATTCCAAAGATAAACTCGCCACTTTGTAAAAATATTTTGCCAATTTAGTACTACTGAACATTAACCTATCTCTCCCATCTAATGTGAACTAAAACTACTAAAAAGGAAATGACAAGGGCACATGTCAACTCTATTACTTGTACAACTTTCCTACTATAATTAAAGCAATTCAAATTACAATGTTCATTTTTAGAAAAATAGCAGAAATCCTAAACTACCAATATTTCTAACGATGCCTTGTTTTTAAAGTAAGGAAATACCAACTTTTGGTGAACTTTTTGAAGTTAGAGGACACAGCCCAGTAACTAAATTTTGCTTTACTCTATTTTAAGTGGGGGGAAAAAAATGTGTGCACAAAAGCTCCTAGTTATTAGAGCTGGACTAATTAGTAACACTTTTTTGTTGTACATATTCCAAATCATGTGCCTATGTTGGATAAATAGCTGTGCCTCATTCCTATAGCAAGCTTGAAAGGAAATGATTACATCAGGGTTTTTCCTTTCTAAAGGTCAAAGTGCTTTCAAGTATGAGCTTGTCTATTTCCTCAGAAAGAAAAAAAAAAAAGAGTAAGTAGAATTGGACAGAGCTTAGTAATTTAGAAATATTTCAGGAGATTAAAAAGTACCATCTTCTTTCTCATCTTTCTCACCAATGTCTTTCCTTATGGTATATTCTTGTTAATGAGATACTTTGCTATTCCCATCACTCCTTCCTAAGCAATTTTATGTTAATATGATTTTAAATTGCATCTATTCCTATATAATTTTTAAAAGTATTTTTATTGATTTTTGAGAGGGAGTGAGAGAAACATTGATCTGTTGACTCCTGTATGTACCGCAACCAGGAATTGAACCCAAAACCTGACTATGTTCCTGGAATCAAACCTGTGACCCTTCGGTGCTTGGACAATGCTCAACCAACTGAGCCACAAAGGCCAGGGCTATTCCTATACAATTTTGAACAACAACAATTTTGAACAACACACACACACACACACACACACACACACACACACACACGCGCATTCTCTCTATCTCCAATGTTCAAATTAATGGAATCAGATAATGTTTGCTCTTTGAGAGCCGTTTTAGTAGCAAGTTTAAGTCTATCAGATAGATTTCTGAACCCTACTGGGTTTTATCTAATTCTTTTCATTCTTAAAGGTATCTAAAATGTCTTCCTTCAAGAATTATTGCCGGGACCGGTTTAGCTCAATGGATAGAGCATCGGCTTGGGGACTGAAGGGACCCGGGTTCGATTCCGGTCAAGGGCATGTACCTTGGTTGCGGGCATATCCCCAGTAGGGGGTGTGCAAGAGGCAACTGATCGATGCCTCTCTCTCATCGATGTTTCTAACTCTCTATCTCTCTCCCTTCCTCTCTGTACAAAATCAATAAAATATATTTTAAAAAAAAAATTATGTTAGAGACAGAGAATATATAACATACATCAAGGAAAGTTAAGGTTTTTGACCTTTTAACTAAATTCATTATGAACAAAAAACCATACAAAATAAAAGTTTGAGTCATATTTTTAAAAGCATATAATCCATTAATTACAGGTAAAAGATAATGGTTTTCTGATAGAGGTTAGGGATTTAAATATAAACTCACCACCCAGAAGGAAGATCCCAAGTTCTGATAGAGCAATCCATTGAAGCACTTATTAACCAACGACCATCAGGACTGAAAGCCTTTAAGTTAAAAAAAATAAAGAAGAGTACATACATAATCTGTGTGGGTGGGAGTGTATGTGTGTGTATATACATGTATATGTATGTTTGTAATGTTCATGCCTACATTTTTAACAGCTTAAAGAATGCAATAAATTAAAAGATGCAGACTACTTGATAAACTAAATTCAGTAAAATTTAGACTACTTTATTTTATATAAAAGAAACCATTTCTTATATACTACTGATTGGGAAATAGATAAGAATTAGGCTTTTATAGGAATTATAAAAAGTTTTGAAAATTAACAGTAAAAATTAAGTCTTTATTCCAGAATCTCATATATTTATAGAAAATTAACAAACTGTCTTTAACTACAAATCATTTTTATTTTATTTTTTTTATAGGCATTTTAAAAATATATATTTATTTTATTGATTTTGTCAGGGAGGAAAGGAGAGAGATAGAGAGTTAGAAACATCGATGAGAGAGAGTCATCGATCAGCTGCCTCTTGCACACCCCCTACTGAGGATATGCCCGCAACCAAGGTACATGCCCTTGACCGGAATCGAACCTGGGAACTTTCAGTCCCCAAGCCAACGCTTTATCCATTGAGCCAAACCGGTTTCGGCTACAAATCATTTTTAAATATAAAGCTGCTGTTCTGAGAACATTCAATTACTAGAAGAAATATTTTGTTATCTAATTGATTACAATGTATCTGTGAAAGAAACAAAAAATAAATTTTCTTGAAAACAGTCTATATATTAGACTAGCTTTCTAAGAATAAACCTAATTTTGAATCTTAAAAAATTAAAGTTACTAAAAAAGTCCTTATACTTTTACTTGTAGTTTCAGTTAAAAATCTTTTCTTCATTAATCATGTTTGATTTCCAAAATATAACCTAAATCTGCAAAAAGAGTTTCAAAATAAATTTATACTGTCAACTACTCATTAAGAAGATATAACTTTAATTAAAAAAAAAAGAAAAAAAAAAAAGAAGATATAGCTTTTCTATCAGTAAAAATGAGTAATAGCTCTCTCCTTGCCTGTAGCAAGTGGAAAAAAGCCCCAAAGGAAAAACTTTAGGGTTTATAATGGCAGATTGTATTCATCCAAAAGTATAAGCACATCAAAGAGATCATGACTACCCATATTAGCACATATTTGGATAAGTGGACTGTAATTTGTTCACCAGGGCTGCAGTATTGTGGAAACTCAAAACTTAAGGTCCAGAGAGATCAATTTACAGAATAAAACAAGCATTAAAGGACAGGGGAAATGACCTGATAAGTAAATCTCATAGATTTAATTTAATACTGAGTACTAGAAACTCCAAACACACAAGTTGAAAAATGTGAGAAGGGAAAAAAACACACAAAAAACAGGAAGATTGTTGGCACTGACAAATGTTTTTTTTAAAAAAAAAGCTATTTCATCATAATTATTGCGGTCCCACCCTCATTTCTGTAGATATTGTCACAACAAATTCTGTTGATGGGTAGTTCTACCAATCTCCAATCTCCAGAAATCTCCAGAACACCACCATTTCCTGACCATTTCTCCTTATTTTTAAGGAAATGGGTAAGCACTGCAAATTCTGATTTTTGGTATGAGAATAAATAAGTAAAAGTAGCTGTTGGAACTGGTATTCAGTAGCTAGGATTTTATTTTTATTTTTTTCTCCTTTTAAATAAATCAAGGAATCTGCAATTGATGCAAAACGACAATATAAACTTAATATGGTCCTTTGCATACACTTTCTAAATCAGAGTGCTTCTTATATCATACATCTCTCCATAAGAATACAATAGTAAGCTAAATCACATTATCAGGAATTAAGCTATACAAATTCTAGAAATAAAACAATACTAGCACATACCAGGTACCAAATATTCCAAGTCTCCTAGTATTAATTTTTTATGCATGTAGAAAACCAGAAATAAGTTTCTTCAGCCTAGTTTAATACTAAGTCAGAAATGCCGAAACTGGTTTGGCTTAGTGGATAGAGTGTCGGTCTGCGGACTGAAAGGTCCCAGGTTCGATTGCGGTCAAGGGCATGTACAATACATTGGTTGCCGGCACATCCCTTGTAGGGGGTGTGCAGGAGGCAGCTGGTCGATGTTTCTTTCTCATCGACGTTTCTAGCTCTCTATCCCTCTTCCTTCCTCTCTCTGGAAAATCAATAAAATATTGTATATATATTTTTAAAAAAATACTAAGCCAGAAATGACATACTTACGTTTCAATCTCTAAAGTATATTTTGGTCCTGCTTGCAGTCTAAGAGAAAAAGATAAACTCTGCGATATATATTTTAATCTGATGGCATTAACTCCCTGAGAAATATTAAACTTGCTTTTAATTCTACATTTTCCTTAAAAATCTTTTTGAAAATTAGTCTCCAAATTATTTCTTTTAAATATTTCCTCATACTAGTATGATGCGTAGTTCAATGCTATTCAAGGAAAACAGTTTCAATTATTTGAACATTTTTTAACTAAATAGAAGCAGAAGTGAGTCAAGTTTTGTTTAAACATTGAGTTAGTTTTACCATGTCATTTATTTGGCCTTGGTGTCCAGAAAACTCTCTGACAATCTTTCTAGTTTCTATGTCCAGAACACTAATGGAGAAGTCATCCAAGGCGAGTCCCAGAATGCCACTAGCAAGATAAATGCATCAGTTTTAATAAACAAACAAAAACTTGAACTAAAAATCTCATAGGCATTGTAATTTTTTTTAAGTCAAGTGTATCTTTGGATTATGAATAAGCAAAATGCTGTTTTTTTTAATGTTAAAAATCTGACTCTCCCCTCCCCCCCAACTTGGTAAATTATATACTTTACTTAAATTAAGAACTTTTACCAAAAACATGAAGAGGAAAATTCATTATCATTAAAAGAGAAACTTTACCTGTCTCTGTGTAGCAGCATCATATTTGGAGATGAATCAAGACTCATAGAATGGATTAAAATTTTGTTTTTAAAGTTCCAAAACTTGAGTAATCCTTCACTACCAGTCGTAATTGTCAGCTGGTTTAATCCATCTACTGCAACACCTCTAACAGACCCTTTATGAGCTTTAAAGCATATATTAAAAGAAAAAAGAATAAGAATTGATATTGCCTCTCTGAATACTGCATGAAGAGTGATTCCTTTATTTAAATATCTAAGTTCCACTATTTACCTTCCCTAAAATTTTGATATTACTCTGAATTTTAGGAAGTAGGGAGATTATTATATTGCTCAAGTAAAAACAAAGTTCATCAGAATAATACAGAAAGGTTTCAAAAAACAGTTAAGATTTTTCTGCTTAAAGAAAATTTTAATTTGTATATTATCTACTTTCCCATAACATCTGTGACTTAATTCTCTGAGTATTTCAATATGGTGGCTATAAGATATAATGGCAGTATCTGTCATGTACAGTTGATAATAACCCATCAAAATGGCTAGCAGTAAAAATTTAATACATGCCAATGAGTTATTAGCCTCATACTTATTTATATTATTTTTTTAAAAAGGAAAAAATGCAATACCTTGATCCTCACCAAACCTTCCTCGATGTATACCAGATTGCATGTTATATACATCTACAGTTCCTGATGAGAGACCAATCACAGCAAAATTTCCACAAGAAGTTATATCCACTGCCTTAGGGGGGGAAAAATTAAACACAAGTGACACAGCAAATAAACTAACATTTTTATTGTACTTTAGCTCCCATAGTGTTTTTTTTTATCTACTAATTATCTTATTCTTTTTTTAAAATAAAGCATAGCATGACAAATTAATTAGTTAATTTTCTTAAACATTCCTGTATTTGGATATATAAGAAATATCTGCTTGATTCTATCTCCTTTCTCTAAGAAGTATGAAGACATTATTATCTAAGACCATAAAACATAACGGAAGTAACTCAGTTGAAATTTACAAAGTCAGAATAATTGTGTTATCATCTGCTTTCAATTTTTAATTTATTCCCCACAGTGCTCAAGTCAAAGCATTCCATTCCCTAATTTGTCTTTATCTTACCTTACTTTTGTAATTGCTTCCACAACTATACAAAACTAAAAACCTACCATTAAATGTCCAATAAAAAAGCTCAAAATATTTTAATTATGACATGTTAGGAAGAGAATACATGAGGCATTACATAGAACACATTAGTTTAAAAGCAGTTTCTCTAAAATAAACTCATATCTTACTACTTAAAGTGTCAGTCAATATTGTATTAATGAGGTGTCTTTTTTCCTATGTTAAAAACATGAGACTGGCTCTATATTGGATCGTGGCCAGAGAAATCCCTGATTGTCACTGTGTGTCAGTCAGATATTATCCACCCAAGGAAGAATTGAAAATACTGCTAAATTTATGCCTAAAGAAATAAACTTCTAAAACCTAAAATAAAGAACTTATTAGAGGCTATGTAACTGTTCGAAGCAGTATGTCCTGATTTTATTTTTCTAGACAATTAAAGCTTATTCCGTAAAAATATATATTATGGGCTAATCTTTAAAAAAGCATTCTCTCTAAACAGAACACAAACGTAATCTTACTACTTTAAAAACTCATAAATGTTTACACTATGTTGTAGTTTTAATAACAGGAATTAATGGAGATACTAGGCTATAACCTACAAGTAGCAAAGAACCCCGATGTGCTTGCTATTCTTTTTATAATTTGTATTTATTTACTTTAATTGATTTTGAGAAAGAGGAAAGCAAAGGGAGAGAAAGAGAGAAACATCCATGTGAGAGCAAGATATAGATCGGCTGCCTTCCACACATCCCCTACCGGGGAACTGAGTCCACAACCTGGGCCTGTGCCCTGACCAGGAATCGAAATGGCAATCTTTTTTTGGTGCACAGGATGCTGTCCACCAGCCTGGGTGAACTTGTATTCATTTTAATAAAATTTACTGTTGTTAGAGGCCTGCTTCTATTGTATAATCTCTTTTTCTTACTTATTCATGCTAATCTCTTATCAAAGACAGCATAAACAAAGCAAAATGAGTAAACTGAGAGGGTTATCTTTAAGTAACAAATTGTATTTTAGTGCATGGGCTATCTAATAAATATTTTTGTTTATTACTTTCTGATTACTGGTTTTTTCCAGGTAGCTGACTGAGTTTGCCAAACATATAACTAAATATATACATATACTTACTATGCATATATTCAATGATCTGCTTCATCAATAAAAGGCTGTGAGTTAAGAACACAGGCTCTAAACTGAATAGGTCTAGGTTCAAATCCCAGCTCTTCCATTTACTAGCTTTACTGACCTTAGGCATGTTACTCATTATATTAAGCATCAGGTGTTGTTTCTTCTGTTGTTTTGTTTTTTTAAAATATATTTTATTGATTTTTTACAGAGAGGAAGGGAGATAGAGAGCTAGAAACATCGATGAGAGAGAAACATCGATCAGCTGTTTCTGTACACCCCTCACTGAGGATGCGCCTGAAATTAAGTTAAAATGCCCTTGACTGGAATAAAACCTGGGACCCTTCAGTCTGCAGGCTGACGCTCTATCCACTGAGCCAAACCAGTTTCGGCAAGCATCAGTTTTATTGTCAATAAAAAGAGGCTAACAATAGACCATATCATAAGATTGTTGTGAGAATAATATACAATAATATGTGCTAGGCAGAGACACTAAAACAAAGCAAGCACAGAAAAACCTGTTAACTATAATTATCATTACCACTACTATCAAAATTGCTACTCAAAACTGAGCAGATAGCCCTGACCAGTTTGGCTCCGATGATAGAGTGATGGCCTACGGACGGAAGGATCCCAGGTTCGATTCTGGTCAAGGGCATGTTGAGGGCACATCCCCAGTGGGGGGTGTGCAGGAGGCAGCTGATCGATGTTTCTCTCTTATCTGATGTTTCTGGCTCTCTATCCCTCTCCCTTCATCTCTGTAAAAAAAAAAAAAATCAATAAAATATATTAAAAACAAAACAAAACTTAGCAGGTAAACTTAAGACACTTAAGATAGAATCTCTATTATTTAGAAAATAGTATAAAATCTTAAGACTGGATTTCTGTACTATGGCTAATAAAGCATATATACTTACAAATAAACTTGTACAAAATAGGATCATAAGTGGAGTTCAACTTTTAATAAGTATTTTTGAAATCCTAGCTGCTTCCTTTGTAGATACTGACAAGCTCATCCTAAAACTCATATGGAAATGTAAGGGACCAGAATAGCCAAAACAATCTTGAGGGGTGGAGGAAAGTGGGAGAATAAACTTGGAAGAGTCAATCTTCTTGAATTCAAAACTTACTACAAAGGTAAAAGGTACAAAAATCAAGACAGTTTGGCACTGGCATGAAGACAGACAGATAGAACAATAAAAGAGAAATGAGAGTCCGAAGTAAACCCTCATATAATGTCAAATGATTTGGGGAGAGGGTGCCAAGATCATTCAATGGTAAAAGAATAATCTTCTGAACAAACGATGCTGAACAACTAGATATTAGTATTAACTCAGAAATGATTACAGATCTAAAAATAAAAGCATCATTTGTTCCATGGCCTTGGATTAAGCAATGATTTTTCTAAAACCACTAGTATATATAAAAAAAAAGTAGGTTAAACTTCACTAAAGTTAAAAAATATTAGCAGAAAATGATACCAGCAAGAAAACAAAATGATGGCCCATAGATTGGGAGAAAATATCTAAAAATCACTTATCTGATAAGGTACTTGTACCCAGATTATATAAAGAGTTTTATTAAAACTCAATAATACAAAGGTAAATAATTCCATTAAACAATGGGCAAATGATTTAATAAACATTTCTCCAAAGAAAATACACAAACAGCCAAAAAGCACATGAAAAACGTTCACCATAATTAAGTCAGAGGAAATGCAAATTAAAACCACAATGAGATCCTCACTAGGATGGCAATAACCAAACAGACAGTGACAAGGCTAGGATATATAGAAATTGGAACCGCTATACATTGCTGGTTAGAAATGCAGCTTCTTTGAAAAACCGGTTGGCAGTTCCTCAAAAATGTTAAATAGAGTTATATTATGACTTAATCATTCTTCTCTTAGATATAAATGCAGAGAAAACACATGTCCACATAAAAATCTATACACCAACGTTCATAGCAGTATTTATAGCCAAAAAATAGGAACACAAATGTTCATAAACTAACTGACCAAAGGCTAACCAAAATGAGGTTTCTACACAAAATGGAGTATTCAGCAATAAAAGGTATACAGTATTGATACAAGCTACAATATGGATGCACCTTGAAAACATTATGCTAAGTAAAAGAAGAAAATCACAAAGATCTTTATATGAAATCGCCAGACTAGGCAAATCTATATATCTATCTTCTATCCTATCTAATAAAACAGTAATATGCAAATTGACCATCACTCCAACACACAAGATGGCTGACCCCATGTGGTCAAAGATGGCTTTCCCCATGTGGACACAAGATGGCTAGCAGGAGAGAGAAGTTGGGAGAGACCAGGTCTGCAAGGGAGGGCAGTTGTGGGTGATGAAGCCTTCAGGGGAGGGCAGTAAAGGGTGACCAGGCTGGCAGAGGAGGGAAGTTGGGGGCGACTGGGCATGCAAGGAAGGGCAGCTGGTGGGAGAGGGAGGGAGAGGAGGCCCAGGCCTGCAGGGGAGAGCAGTTAGGGGGGGACCAGGCCTGCAGGGGATGTCAGTCAGGGATGACCAGGCCAGCAGAGGAGGGAAGTTAGGGGCAATCAGGCTGGCAGGGGAGCAATTAGGCATCAATCAGGCTGGCAGGAGAGTGTTAGGGGGTGATCAGGCTGGCAGGAAGAAGTGGCTAGGGGCAATCAGGAAGACAGGCGAGCAGTTGGGAGCCAGCAGTCCTGGACTGTGAGAGGGATGTCCGACTGCCCTTTTAGGTCCAATCCCACCAAGATCAGGCCTAAATGGGCAGTCAGACATCCCTCGAAGGGTCCCAGATTAGAGAGGGTACCCGCTAGGCTGAGGGACAGCTCCTCTCCCTGCACAAATTTCGTGCACCAGGTCTATAGTGTGTGTGTGTGTGTGTGTGTGTGTGTGTATATATTTATAGGCCAATATAAATAAGCTATTTATAGGCCTATTGCTATGATGCACACTGACCCCCAGACGCTCAACGTAGGAGCTGCCAAGCTACAGTGACTTGGCAGCTGCGGTTCTCGGGTGACGAATCCAGAACCAGAGAGGAGAGTTCCTGACTCTAGGGTGTGTCACCTGTGAACTGCACTTTCGCAATCTGGAATCCCTCGGGGGATGTCTGCAGGCCAGGCAAAGGGACCCTTGCACCAGGCCTCTAGTCTATCTATAATAATAAAAGCGTAATATGCTAATTAGATCTGACATCCTTCCAGATAACCTTCTGGAAGAAGCTGGGGCTGTGATGGAAGCCCAGGTCCTGGGTGCCACAGAGAAGCAGGTACCAGCAGCCTGGAGAGGGAAGGCCTAGTCTTTCACAAATTTCATGCATTGGGCCTCTAGTCTAGGGAGATGGGAGAGGGAAAAAGTGAGAAAATGTGGATAGCTATTAATAAGTATAGTAGAAGATTTCAATTTGAGGTGATAGGAATGTTCTAAAATTAGACTGATAAAATTTTGGTGATGCTTGGTAATAGAATTTGGTGCACCAATTCTATTAATATACATAAAACCATTGAATTAATTGTACACTTTAAATGAGTGAATTACATTTCAATAAAACTGTTTAAGAAAAAGCAGAGGTAATATTTCTCCAAACCAAATTTGACATTTTTCTTTATATCTTAACCCTTTGCACTCCAAACCATTCTGGACATTGGCTACCAGCTACTCGACGCTACTTTGCGGCGGAAACGTGCGTTGAATTAACTCAATTCCCCGTAATCACTAATAAACTGCAATGTCCCCCCTGAGAGGGGACATCCGAGTGATATGCTAGAGTTCCGATGTCCCCTGAGAGGGGACAGCGAGTGCAAAGGGTTAAATTTGAACCTAACTGAAGATTCACATATTAACAAAAGAAAACAAAATAAAATTTCAGAGGAATAAGAACTTAAAAATAAACCCTGGCATTTAAAACCTGTATTTAAATAAGTTTTGACAGTACTCAATCAGAATTTCTCTAAAAGGCATTTATCATAATAGACATATGTGGAAAAACAAGAAATAAAGGATTTAAGTAATTTCTATACCTATTATGCATTAAAGATTTACCTAAATCCTATTCATATAATGAAAGAAATCAAGGAAGGAAGAATGAAAATAAAGAAGGGAAGAAATCTTCAGATTAATATTTATTAAATAAAATACTGTACACTCAACTAATATTTATTAAATAAAATACTGTACACTCAACATAATTCAGGCGAAGAAATATATTAAAAGCTCTGGTTGATGTGGCTCAGTTGGATGGAGCTTTATCCCGTGCACCAAAGGGTTACTAGTTACATCCCTGATCAGTTTCTCTCACATCGATGTTTCTTTCCCTTTCCCTTTTCTTTTTCTCTCTCTCTCTCTCTCTCTCTCTCTCTCTCTCTCTCCCCCCCCCCTCTTCCTCTCTATTTAAAATCATTAAAACATATATTATATAAATGATGAAATAATCTTCAAAGGGTATTCTGAGTAATCCTATATACCTAAGAAAATTTAAGTAACCAATATACTATATCTGATTAAGCAAAGCTTAACTTCAACCAAAAGCAATTCTCTGTAAGCTGGAAAACTTAATACTATTAGGGACTAATTTGAAAATGTTATGTTCTTTCAACCAATATTATCATCAATAAAGTTGAGTATAACAAGATTATAAGATGGTTTTATGCTCACTTACTGTTGCAGTAACGTCATCTTTCTTCAGCTCTTTTGGCTTGAGAAAGTAAGCGCCTATTGTAGATCTTTGATAGTTCCAGGTTGAGCAAGATAGCTTACCCTGATGGCAAGCAATGATACCATCCCAGTCACTTTCACGAGCTTCCTCTAAAACATAATTAAAATCATAAACCAATTGCTTTCATTCCCCCACTAATTTCTTCACCTATCATTTATTAAGCACTTAATCGTCCATGTTATCATTAGAGACACAATTATAAACATGTAATTCCTGATAGTAATGAGCTTAAAATCTAACAAGAGATTCTGATCAGCATAAATTATAGTAAAGTATGATTGTGCCTTATAAGAGCACTCAGGAAGTTTGCTAAGAAATTGGGGAAGAGTAATAAATGTCTCCATGAAAGAAGCAGTAAAATAAATAAATATTAACTGGAAGGATGAGGTAGAGGGTACACACAGGTCCAAGAGTAACCTGAACAAAATTAAGTACAGCAAGTAGTGAAGCATTTTCTTGAGGGGTGAGAGGAGGGCAAGGCAACTGGGGCCACACAGCAAAGTGTCTTGAAAGCCATGTAAGGAAAGGAGATTCACCCTAAAAATAATGAGGGGCCACAGAAAGATTTTTAAGAGGAGTGACATGATTCAGATGTTTTAGAAACATCACTGGGTTCTAAGATAAAAACCAGAAAGGAAGACGGTCAAAATTAAAATTAAAAAAATATATATCAGTCATCAAATAAAATAACGAAGTAAAAATGGTGCTTATACAGATTTTATATGATAGTTTTCAATCAATAATCCCATTACCTATGCATCTTTCTTCAAATTATTTCTTTGAATGAAGCACTGCTCAAACGAGATAGTATATATTAAGATCTGTGTATTTAGATCTTTATTAAATTAGTCAGAGCTCTGTATCCTCAGTTCTTGCCTTTTTATACTAGTGAATTTCCTTATATTAGGCATGTCAGAATAAAAAGGGATACAAAGTGATATATCAAATATTGTTTATTAATAGCTCTTAGAGATGAGAAGCCTGAAATTAATACATAACAAGTTCAAATTATAAGTAACTCTTTTTCAGTCTTCACACAAGATTAGCATGCACTTGGGTTACCTTCCAGATGTTTATTAATATTTGCAAAAACATCTATTAAAATAGAAAAAAATAAAGAAATATATAGTAGGAAATAAATGACAAAGCAGAACTTCTCAAAACACAGTAAGAAGTTACTTACCAGCTGCAAATTTTGTGATGGGAGGAAGTCTCACTGACAGGGTATTTTGAAGTCCTTTACGTTTGACTCTTTTTTTGTTTATTAATCCTACGGTTGGGGGAGAGAGAAATATAGCTATGAATCATTCTTAATGAAATGTACATAGAAGTTATTCACTGTCACATAACTATAAAGTTCAAAATATTGTCATTAAGTACATAAAGATGTTATCACCACTGTCATTAAATTGCTTGTCAAGTTTAGCTAAGTAATGCCATGAAAAATTAAACTATGATATATAAATAATTTATAAAAAGTGGTAAAAATATCTTTTTTTTTTTTTGCAGGTGAAGTAATGGTGATACAGTCATGTCAATTAAGAAAAACAGCCAAATAATTATTAGAAGTAATAATAGTTTCACTGGATCAGATACTGAACCAATAAAAAAATCAGCAAGTTCCCTACAATGTACAATGCAGCATTTAATATCATTATAATATAAATATTATATATTTTTTGTATTTCATTATATTTCTAACTGCAACAAAGATCCCATTCATATTAGCAAAATACTAGAAAATCATATTAAAATATGTAAAATATGTAGAATAGGAGGAAAACTAAAAAAAAAAAAAAAAATTCACTCAGGAAATGAAAAGATGACTTGAATGAAGAGATACCATATTGCTAGATGTGAAGATTCTTAAAGATATCAAATTTCTTCAATTTAAGATAAATTATTTTGTATATTGATTTTAAAATGATCCTGAAATTCATCTGTAAGTATATACATACATGAAGAGCCAGGACATTAGCTTACAAAAAAGAGTAATTATGAATAAAACTGGGAAACATTTTTGTTTAGCAAACAAAATTTTTCAAATGCTGGGAAACCCTATGAAGGGACAGAGAACAAAATGGGACATATTTACAAAAAGATGGGATACTTGGATGCTTTCTCTAAGCTCCTTTCCATCTTTAAAATTCTGCACTTTACAAATGGCTCAAGTTAGAGCATCAAGGTCTTTTGGGTAGCAGCCATGTTTTTACAACCACGATATCTAACTCTTTTCAATAATCTTACAGCTATACTTTAACCACTTCAAAGCAACACTGATTTTAAAAATCTTACTACTGCCCTTCATACAAGGGTTTTTTAATTTACTAAGAAAAGAGGTATCAATAAAACCTCTTCTGGTCATCTCACAGAATCCTGAAATGTTTCTTTGGGGATCAGCAGGTGTTTTTTTTTTCTACTTTGCAAATGACCTACCATGTCCCAAGCTCTTGTTAAATTTTTCATGTATTGTGGAAAATGACTGAAGAGTTCCATCTTGACCTGTTGACATATATAGAAAATGCCTAATCAAGCTTCATCAAAACAATGGACCATCTAAATCACAGATCTTATAAATTAGATTCTATGAAAAGATAGAAGTTATAGTTTGGGACAGTCAGATTGCAACTACATCCTTCATTACAGTATTCAATTGTACATTTATTAAGAACAAAGAATAGAATGAAACAATAATTCTCAGTATATTATTAGAATAGGCAAGGGCTACATTTTCAGAATCTGACCATTTTCTCTCAGAATTAGTAAACAGAATGACACTCCAAATGAAGATAATTATCATCTACAATGTTTCCTGAGTATTCAAAGTTAACACATTCTTCTTTGCTTCCTTTAACCCTTTTCCCACATTTCCAAGTAAATCAGAGACATTTGAATTTTAAAATGTGCAAATACCAAACTTAATAAATATTAAGCACTCGGTTCTCAATATTTACTGGAATCAACTAATAGTATGCAAAGGAACTCACTTGCGCTAAGAATCTGTTGTCCATTTTGTCCATAATACCTAATTTTGGTAAGAGGAGCACTATGTCCCATTCTGAATCTCAAAAGCCGGCCTTCACCAGTGGGACCATCAAATATCCATACCTGCCAAGAAATAAAATGGTAAGGTTCTTCCACAATGTAAGTTATCTGCAAGCAGCCAAATCATCTTTGACATAAATCAACTGGCAATGGGTAGTGCTGGCCAGGCTGCTGACCTTGCAGTGGAGGGTTAGGGGAGCAATAAACTATAATGCTTTCTCACTTCATTGCAATCAATGTAACCTGCTGTGTTTTTGTTTCATCTCTACCAGTATCTTATTCCACATTCCTTCCACCTTCTAGGTTTCAGGCTAAAATATTAAAGCAGACTTGTAATAACCTGAAGAGTAGGACAGATGAGCCAGGAAGATGACAACAACAATAATCATAATACCCTAAGAGCATTGTCAGCACCATTTGTGACAAGAAGTGGCTCTCTGTGGAGAAATGTCAATCCAGCAATTGCTGTAGAATGTGCATTTCTCATTTGATTGATGAATTTTTTGTCTTCAAGATCCCAGAGTCCAATATGGCCACATGGGCTTCCAGCTGCCATAATTGGATGACCATCTGTTATGAAAATAAAATACATTAATAAAAACATGCACCATAAAATATCAATCAACTCTTCTTTCTACCCTTTTAATCTATAAAGTAAGAAAAGACTATACACTAAGAATCTATCTATGTTCCTCTGTCTCTTTATACTCCAGTATTTTATTCTTTCCTGTTAAAATTACAAAAAGAAAACCTATTAAGAAAATTTCTGTTTCAGAGTAATGCACTTTAAGTGTTCTTAAGTCATAGCAATAATTAAGTTACCTGTGCGAAATGAAATAGAAGTAATAGGTCCCCAGTCTTGACGAAACTTCATTAATGTTTCATCAAACTTAATGTTATGAATGATAACCTGACCCGACATAAGACCAACAGCAACAACATCCACAGCTGGTGCCTAAAAATTAAATTATTCAACTTTTAAAATATTTTCAAACAGCTTTAATAATCTTGATTATATCATTCCTTATTTACATGTTATCAGAAGAAATCATGTTATTTAGCATGAAAGTAAGAATAATTTTCCCTCAAGTAATTTCTCACCTTCAAATCTGGTAGTTACCATCACCTTCCCTTCCCCAAAACATGGCTGACTTGATAAGAAAGCAGTCATAACAGAAATGAAAGTTCATGTCTGAAATCACTATAGATCATTGAATAGTTGTAAACAGAAAATTAAGACAATTCTTAGAAAACAAAAGTTTGCTATATGCGCAACAACATAAAAGGCCAATGCATAACATAAAAGGCCAACTACAAAGAAAGTAAAGAGTTGTTTACTCAAAGAAAACAGAAAAACTTATAAAATATGTTAAAAGGCAAAAAAATTTTATACTTGGTCTGTTCCAGCTTAAATAACCTATGATTATAATCTTCATTTTATATAATGGTATTACATTCAAGCTCTATAATAAGTTTCTCTATTTTAGCACAGAAAATGAATGCCCAATCCTATAGAATAAAAGGCTAATATTCAAATCAACCAAATGGCAGAACTATCAGTCACTATGATACACTCTGACAACAAGGGGGCAGACGCTCAACGCAGAGGCTGTCCTCTGGTGGTCAGTCATTCATTCAGACATGTCTATACTCAAAACAAATAGCAGTTATTTCTGGAAGAGTCCAGAAAAGAATATTAGTATTTGGGACCCAATTATTTCAAGCTACAAATCTTAACAACTTGACAAATGTGTGTGTGACCCACAATGAACAACACATCTCCATTCTGTACAAGGCACTAGACTACATGCTTGCAGAATGATTGGTAAACAAAGCTCCACAGCAACGACTAGTTAAGAACCTAATTTTAGGCAAAACAGTTTCCACAAAGTTTATAGACAAAGGTTTTATCATCTGTTTTCAATTACATTTCAAAAACAATATTTTGAGCATATTCATAAAGATAAACTAGTCTATATTATTTTGTGTTTAGGTCTAAAAATATAATCCACCCCTGAAACTGAAAGATACAATTACTAAATCCATTTCTTCTTTGACTTAAAAAAAAAAAAATACTAACCTGTTGAAGAGCCGTCACTCCAACTTTCCATCCTGGAAATGTATATAGAAGTTTACTACAAGAAGAAAAAGAGTTGAAAGCTATTTTTCTGGGAGGAAAACAAAATCAACTACACATTAAAAATTAAAAGAGCAAGTGATAATTATTAGGTTCTTACTCTGCCCCACACTATTCTAAAAATGCATATTAACTTATTTAATACTTAAACAATCCCATGAGGTAAACTTATACCACTCTCCAGATAAAGAAACCAAGAAATTTAAAAATATGTGAAATAATTAAGTTAAGGTCCTGTAACTAATAATTGACAGAGCCCAAAGAGATCAATTTCAAATTCCAATCTGCTAATAACTACTATACTATTCCAACTCTTTAAAAAATTAAATAGAAAAAAATATATATGAGTAAAAACTACTTTATATTAGAGGCTATAATAGAAAACAATCTTAGAATATAGGCAAATTTCATTCTTAGTTTATCAAAAACTAGAAGCCCCAGTGACAATCTTATAATTATTTTCTGGACTTATGTTACTTTACTAGAGCCTTCTCTACATGGAGGGGTTTTTTTTTGGTTTTGTTTTGTTTTTTAAATAATGACTAGGACCATTAGTATATACTTTCAATGGGCATATATAAAGCTGCCTAACATGTGCCATGACCACATGCCAAATTTCACATATGTGATGCCATAAGAAACAATTCCAAAAATATGTATATTTACTGAAAGCCCTCCAAATATATATATAAAAGCAGAGAGAACTGAGAGACTTAAGAATCTATTAGGTAGGAATAGATAAGGCAGGAGTCACCCGTACTATAATCTAAATAAAGTACTCACTTGGATTTCACATTCCACAATTGTAGGCTTCCTTGTTCACTGCCAAGAAGTATTTTATTCAAGTAGGTACTTGGATGCAAAATTGCAGAAATTTTAAATACTGATTTATCAAAAGTCAATTGCAGATATTCTTCTACAAAAGCAAAAATTATGAATAACATGTAATTATTTTTTATAAATTAGTTTAAAATATTTTCATATACCGATATATTCAGCACTTAAATAAGTCTACCACATTAAAGATTTACAATAAATTTGAGTATTCACGAAGGTACTTTTCACTTAATCTTTAGTTCACATACTGTCTGGCACACTGCTACACATTCCCATGAGTATGTGTATCCCAGTCCAAGAAGCACAGATACAGGTAAAAATTATACAAAATTTACTTTAAATATATTTTTAAAAGATTCTCACCATTGTATGAATTAACAGTTTTATTTAAAAATCATTACAAACAACTCCCTGAAGACAATGTGCTGCTCTAACAGTAATAAAAACCTGGGCATCAGCATCTATGGAAAGCCAGTTGGACTCTTAATAATCAGATTCTCAAGCTTTATAAAAGGCCTTTTAATATCCATCTGCATAGGGACTACTTTTGGAGGTAATATAAGATAAAAATGTAAACAGATTTAAAAACAGCTTTATTTCATAAGAGACTCACAGTCTTTTACTGAGGAAAGCTGGGGATATTCTGGTGATGAATGCCTAACCTTTGAAGATAATACAGTCCATAAACATAGCTCAGTGCTATTGTGTAAAAATATCATTGTTAAAGAACATTGACTTATCCTTAAAAAAAGGATGTACACTTTCCTTCAGACTACAGCAGTGGTTCTCAACCTTCTAAATGCCGTGACCCTTTAATACAGTTCCTCATGTTGTGGTGACCCCCAACCATAAAATTATTTTCGTTGTTACTTCTTATCTGTAATTTTGCTACTGTTAATGAATCCTAATTTAAGTATCTGTGTTTTCCACTAACAACCGCTAGCAGGGTTGCCTAAGACTATCGGAAAACATAGACATTAACATTACGATTCATAACAGTAGCAAAATTACAGTTATGAAGTAGCAACGAAAATAATTTTATGGTTGGGAGTCACCACAATATGAGGAACTGTATTAAAAGGGTTGCGGCATTAAAAAGGTTGAGAACCACTGGACTGTAGGATCTTCAAATTTACTGTTACTAAAGTTGAAAATACAAACCAAGAATTAACAGGTATAAACATATATCAAAATTCATTCCACAGAGAATATAACATGTCACTAAACTTGGAGACCTGCAATGGAAAATGTATTAGTTATTATATATGCTAGTAAACACATTAAACAGGTTATAAAGAGCTCAACTAACTGATTAAAATTGCTTATCCGGTTTTTATTTAGAACCTTTTTCCTTATACATGTTACAGATTCTGTTAAAAATTTTTTTACTGCTTAAATGGTATAGATTTTTTTAAATTCTATCTCAAAACATGCCATCTCAAGATAAAGCAATAAATTGGTTAATTCTTACCTTCTGAGTATATGTGCCAAATAATAAGAATGCTGTCAGTATCAACAGAGATAACATGATCTCCAAAGGGTTGCAAAAGATGGATTTCTGCCTTATGACCCTTAAAAGTATGTACTACCTACAATGTCAAAGTTCAAAAGAATTTCATATTATTCATTCATGTAATATTCCTTATATTAACAAAAAAAATACATGTTAATCCTGAAGATGCTCATGTTAAGGAAAGGTGATTTAACTTCTGACTACCCAATGCTAGATTAACAAATAGCAAGGATTCAGGTATTTTCAACTGCTCTCCAGCCAGTTCAATAATAAAGAAACATGGATTGGAAACCGAAATGACATCTGAGAGGCTGAGCCTCTCAACTGAGCTCAGGAAGGAGGCACACACACAGCTGGAGCCCCTCATTTAATCCAACCAGCACAACTCCATGCATCCTAGAAAAGTGGTATATTCTAGAAGGCTGACTTCCACAGACTCCATCAAAAGCTGGCTTCCAGAGGAGATGAGGAAAGGAGAGAGATATAGGGTACTTTCCCCCCACAGCTTTGTTTTAGGGAAGAAGTATTGTGTTCCTCAATAACTATGGTTTCAGTTCTCACCAGGCTCCAGTAACACTATTTCTTCTTCTTATCTCTTTGGATCTAGTGGTGGTGACAGCTTTCTACAGTTAATAGTCTTTGATGCCTTCCCATACCTACTCTATAATAATAAAAACAAAATATGCTACTTAGACCAGACAACCTTCCGGATGGAGAGAGGCTGTGAGAGAAGCCTGGGTCCTGCGTGTCAGAGGAAAGTCAGTGCCGAGAGCCAGGAGAAGGAAGGCCTACTCTTGCACAAATATCGTACATCAGTCCTCTAGTATATATATATAATCTCTCAGAGAAAACTACAAACTGCAATACTTTGCAAAAAACAGACATTTTCCCTAACTCCTAAAAACCCAAACATCTCCCATAAAGAACTCCATAAGTAAATTGCCATCCTACCCGAGTAGTGATGATGGAGGGCTTTGGGAACAAATGTCAGTCCACTCAACTCTTAACAAGTGCAATGATTCTATCACTTGGCCAGGAATCCCTACTGCCACTTTCCTTTTCATTCTGGACCACTAAAGCCAGATAATCTCTCTAGTTTTCCCAGGACAAACTTAAGACAAAAAAGAGTGGTAGATTAAGACAAAAAAAAAAAAAAAAAAAAAGATTCTTCATTATTAGTGAGGCAAACATGAGAATCTAGCTTTCTCTATATAGAAACAAGCACTTAGTTCTTAGAAAAGGAGTCAGGAGCTGAGCTGTCCACAATAAAAAGCCAATTCTCATAAAGCAGTGGTGCCAATGTGAATAAAGTCCCAGAAGAAGGATGCCAACTTTAAAGTTCTCTCCACTATCATGACAATTGACTACTAATTGCAAAAGACAATCAAATTACAATAGTCCAGTGTTACAAACCTCTTTATTGCGGGCAAATGCAGAGAAAACATTCCCATAAGCAGCAAAGACCAGCTTCCCATCAGCTGCCATACAGCAGATATCCTGTGGAAGAGAGTTACCTAGGGGGGAAAAATACAAAGTGATAAAACATTAAGATCTTAAAAGAGATGGAAACCTCAAGTATACATATAACATTTTTCCTGGTTATAATTTAAAAATGTGTACAAATATGAAAGCTAACCATCAGAGTATAAAATTTTGACTTTAATGTTATCTTAGACATCTAATAATAACTATGAGGCTGAAACTCTGAAATCATCTTAATCCTCAGTAAAAGAACTAATGTCTCATCTTTGCAGACATAAAAACATAATTCTAAGGAAGTGATAAGCTTTTTGGGGTTATTTGGAAAAAATCCTTACTTAATACACAAAACTTTTGCAGTCATTCAGCCCATATGTGACTGTTTTCAGGAACATCAAATTTACTAATAACTGCAGGAAAATTTTTAAAGTAAATAAAACCTTAGAACCCCATCTAATACTACACTTTGGAGTACCTTCAAAAATACTCCAAATGGCCCTAGTTAGACTCAGTGGATATAGCATAGGCCTGCAGACTGAAGGGTCCCAGGTTCCAGTCAAGGGCATATGCATGGGTTGCAGGCTCATCCTCAGGAGGGAGCATGAAGGAGCCAGCCAATCAATGATTTCCTCTCATCATTGATGTTTCTATCTCTCTCCCTCTCCCTTCTTCTCTGAAATCAATGTTTATATATTAAAAAAATACTCCATATGATATTCTACATACTGACCCTTAAAATGAACAATCTGGCTTCCACTCCATCTTCTCCAAGGTAAATATGCCTATCAACTGTTGTCTTTTGTCATATGATATGATTTTTTGAGTCCTCTCTCACTGTCATGGTCACCTGGCCTTTTTAAAATTTTCTGCTTAGGGGGTCAGAGGATTAGACAATAGACGATTAAGCATTTTTTTTTAATGCTGTATATTACACTTTGGGATTTCATTTACAAAATGGTATTTTTATAGGTTTACTATTTATTTCTGTATTCAACTGAGGTTACATTGTCCTTCTTCTGCCTCATAATTTTTTAAAAATTTTGTTTTTATCAGATATATCCAGTAGATCCCTTACAGTTCTCCTCTGTCTCTCTTACAAAGATCATAATTGATAGTAAACCTAGAATCTCTGCACCTTGGCAAGTCCTTTATTTTATTAAACAGTTTTAAAAAAGTAAATATTCCTTCCATTAGAGAAATATCTAAATGTGTGAAAAGGGAAAATGTCTTCCTTACAGTAAAACTGATGATGAAATATGAAAAGCACTATTTATAATCATAATGCTGATTACTGATTCAGGTAAGAAATGTCACTGAATGATAAGCAGTGGATGACACTTTTAAGACTATATTTATAAAGTCTCAATTTATCTTATCTCAAGATACATATTAATTACAGAGGGCAAAACTTTAAAATGGAGCCTCCTGACAAATGTCATCTTAACAAAACGATCAGGTGTCACTACCAGGAAAAGGGCTAACCAACAGCATGTGTGTTCTGATCTGATACACTGAGAACTCAGCATCATTTCTTTGTTATTCTCAACATAGTACATAACCTGAACTTAATTATAACAAAAGTTTTAAAAAAATCAATTTAACAGATATTCTAAAAAAGAACTAGCCTATATTGACTTAAAAAATGTCAATGATGCCGGGACCGGTTTGGCTCAGTGGATAGAGCGTCGGCTTGGGGACTGAAAGGTCCCGGGTTTGATTCCGGTCAAGGGCATGTACCTTGGTTGCGGGAATATCCCCGGTAGTGGGTGTGCAAGAGGCAGCTGATCGATGACTCTCTCTCATCGATGTTTCTAACTCTCTATCTCTCTCCCTTCCTCTCTGTACAAAATCAATAAAATATATTTTTAAAAAAAATGTCAATGATGTAAAACAAAACAAAAAAGACAAAAATTTCAATGATGTGAAGCATAGTTTAACAAACATTCCACGTTAAAGAAGATTAAGAGATATGACAACTAAATATAGCACATAATCCTGATTTCTTTTTTTTCTTCTGCTATATAAGTTTATCAGAAATACACACTGGATTCCTTGTATGTTCTGTAAGCCTTAAATTTATGTTGAAATTTTAAAAAGACACAAATTATACATAGATTCAGAATAAAGTTTACACTTACTTACTGCAACCAAACTAAGTTTCTGAACCTGTTTTAAAAGAGAAAAAAAAAAAAATTAAATTCTCACTAACAAAAATCTATAATAATAAAAACATAACATGCTAATTAGACAGGACAGCCAAACGACCTTACAGATGTCATTCCGGACATCCTTCCAGATGAAGCTGAATCAGCAAGGGCTGGGGCAGAGTGGTTAGGGGCAATTAGGCAGGCAGGCAGAGGTTATTAGGGGTGATCAGGCAGGCAGGCGGAGTAGTTAGGGATGATCAGGCAGACAAGTAGGTGAGTGGTTAAGAGCCAGCAGTCGCAGATTGCAAAAGGGATGTCTGCCGGGACAGGGCCTAAATTGGTAGTTGGACATCTCCCTCGGGGTCCTGGATTGCAAGAGGGTGCAGGCTGGGCTGAGAGACCCCACCCCCCACCCCGTGCGTGAATTTCGTGCACCAGGCCTTTAGTAATTATAATCTAACAATTGAAGATCAAAATATAATCTCATACATAAATTTGATATGCTGTCCTTCCTAAGACAATTACTGATTCTAATTTCATTATTAGGAAAACTTATTTCAACTATTTCCTTAGGAATGGTGAAGGAAAGGGTAGGTGAATGTTTTTTATAATGGGCCACATAGAAAATATTTTAGGGCTTTGCAGGCTAGGTAGTCTTTGTTGTATCTACTCAACTGCTAACGTACCAAGAGAGCAGTCATATATAATGAATAAACAAATGTGTGTGACTGTATTCCAATAAACTTAATCCTATTTTTCATATGCCATGAAATGCTATTCTTTTGATTTTCCCCCTAAACATTTAAAAATGTCTAAACTGCCCATTTCAGAAGCACAGAGCACCCCAGAGATGCAAGAGTGCTAAGATTGAAAGGGCCCTTAGTGATGAATTAAATATCCTATGTTTCTTAAAAAAAAAACAGTAGATGCATGTCTCCATCCCAAGCCAAATTTGATTATATTGTATCCTACTACTATGCAAATTTTACTTGGAGCTTGTCATGTTGTGTCAGAATAAACACAAAAATACACGGAGAAAAATAAGATGTCATACAAAAACAAACGGTAAGCATAGTTTGCTGACCCTAACCTATGGTTATTGATCCAGCTGTGTAACTTTGAAAAAGTTACTCAAGCTCCCTATGCCTCAAACTCTTCATAAAACAAGGATGAATACAGATACCTACTTTATGAGATGATCATGATACTCAATGAGTAAAATTTGTGTAAAACAGCATGGAGCCAGTCATGTAATAACTGCTCAGTAAATGTTAGCCAGTATAACCATCACCTCCACCTTGGGCATGGCCTTCACTGTCCTATTCCACTAATTCAACAGGCTACCAACAACCAGGTCTTCTTGCCAATAACCCATCTGATCGTCACAAACCATCAAGGAATAGAACTGTATAGCATGGTTTCCAGAAAAACAGTGCTTAATTAACACTTGCCATTATCATCGTCCTCATAAAAGAAAAGCTTAAGAACCATGATTGCATGTTTATGTGGGATAGAAAACTAAAACTCAGAGACACAGATAGACAACAGTATGGTAGTTACCAGAGGGAAAGAGGACAGGAGAGGTAGAGGATAAAGGGGGCCAAATACATGATGACGGAAGATGATCTGGCTATGGGGATGGATACACAATGCTATATACAGACCATGTATCATAGTGATGAACACTCGAAACCTATGACACAATTGACCAATGTCACCCCAATAAATTTATTTTATTTTTTTTAAAAAAGAAAAGGTTCCTTCTTTCACAGAGCATACATTCATTTGGAGAAGACAAAAGAAACAAGCAAACAGCAAAGAAGACTATTTCAATCACTCATGAGATACGAGATGCCAGACCCTCAACACTGGTGGAAAACAGATGCTCAGGGGAAGTTTAGGGAAATTAGTTTGCTATCCAACTTGGACAGTTCCCTAAATCACAATTAATCTCACCCTCTCCATCACTCTCAGTATACGGTAGTGAATTTCTAATCCAGTTGTCTCATCAATTGCACGGTAAAATGCCTTGCAATTCTTCCTCATTAAGAGTGAGGGGTCTCTAAGGACTTGTCTCAATCACATTTACATCTTCAAGAGAACTAAAATAATGACCCACAGTACAAATAAATATATCATCCTCGAACTGAAATGTTCTCTAGCGCTTTCCCCTAACCAGACTGCCTCGGAAACTCGCCCCCAGCGGACTGCAAGGTCTAAGCCAGCACTGGGGGTGAAGCGACAGTGAGAGGCAGCAGGAAGGGGTTAAGGAAGAGCAGGGCAGAGAGTAGTCCTAGGCGGGCGGGGGGAGGAGGATGGAGAGCTCGATGACCCCAGGCCAGACCTGGGGGCCCGGGAGGGTGGTTTCCAGAGAACGGGTGATGGAAGGAGTCACTCACGTCGTAGGTATGGAAGCTCTTGCCCACGCAGGTCGTCACGTAGAAGCGGCGCTTCAGCGCGTTGAACCGCACCACGTGTGGGATGTCGTTGCTGAAAAGCCCTAAGGCCCGGAACCCCGCGAACAGGGCGCTGGCCGTGCGGCCTCCTCCGGCGTCCCGCTCCATCGCCGCGGGGGTCCGGCCGTCTCTGGGCTCCAGTCCCGAGAGAAACCACGCACCCGGCGTTCAGCGCGGCTCGTGGGGCAAGCCTGGGCCCGGGCCACCGACTCACAAGCGCTTCCGGTGTGCCCTGCCAATCGCGTGAGCGAGGACTGTCCTCGGTGCAATGGGAAAAGCACTCCCTCCGGGACTCACGGTGGAGGCGCGACTTCGGTTCCGGGCCCGCGGGCCACAGTCTCCAGGACGTTAGCGGCGCTCCCAGCTCTGGTGCGGCTGATGGGTCACTTCTCAGCAGGAGCTTGGGGGAGGAGAGCGCTCAAGTCCAGGAGGTTGAATGGGAGACCAGAGTCTTAAAACCGAAATGAATCAGGTTAAACATGTGAATATGAAAAACCTAACGTGAGGCTATTGAGAACATTTGAACGCTAACTGGGTATTTGATGATTATTATATTTGTGTGATAGTAGTATTGTTACTATGTTTTTTTAAAGCCTCTGATCGTTTGGATATACATATCGATATATTTACGGATAAAATGATATACCCGTATTTGCTTTCCAATAATTAGGGATATAATGTTGGGTTTGGGTTTGCATGAAACAGATTGATAATTGTTGAACCTAGGGAATAGATATATATGAGTGTTTGTAATACTATCCTGATACTTCCAATAAAATGGAAATTTTCATAATAAAAATATTTATTTATTTATTTATTTATTTATTTATTTATTTATCTATCTGCTTTTTGCCCAGTTTTTTTACAGTGAAAAGACTGGAATATTAACTGGATTATTAATTGTTTACCTCTCTGTTACAGAACATGCATACACAATTTTAATTACTAGATTAACATTTTTAAAGAATTTTTAAAATTGTATATAATTCACACATTGTTTTAATAATCAGAAGCAAAGACTTCTGCAGCTATTGGCAGTTTAGGGAGTAAACTGAAATGTTTCCCAACCAGGCTGTACAGTTCAGAGAGCTTTTGACACTTATCTTAATATAACCCTCAAATTAAGGCTCAGAGATGTTTATGGCAAAAATTGTAGTGCTGTTTAATACACGGGGAATTGATTCTTTGAGGTTAAGTGATTTTTCCAAAGTTCCAAGATTATTTAATTAAAGATAGTGTAGCAATTTGAATGTAGGCCTGACAATCAAATTTATGGTTTTTGACCTACATCTGGACAGTGAGACACAACTTTAAAAATTAGAACTGTCATGAAAAACCTAGTAGCAATAGGTATACATGTTGGCTGTTGTGCTGTAATCCTTTAAAGGGAAGATGTTATGAACTGATTGTGAATTTTCTAGTTTTAATAGCCAGTGAGAGTTCATTTCTTCCTACCAGTTACCTCCCTGAGTTACTTGCTATTGAGCTGCCAGGAAATTGTGTGAGTGTGTGTTGGGAGAAAAGGATTACCTATTATTATTTTTATTTAGAGACTCGTGGTCCATTGCAGGAAGATTCCTGCAATAGGGCTTCCTGCTGCGGTTCCTGCCCCTCCTGCTTCCCTCTCTTCTTCCTGCCCTGCCTGCTTCTCTCTCTTCTCCCCCACCCCACTTGCTTGTTTCTCTGCAGCCTTGCTCCCTTCTGTAGCACTTGGCTTCTTTCCATGCTGTTTTCAGTCTTGGCTCTGGCCTGGATATGCAAATCAACCGCATCTTGGGTGGGTTAATTTGCATACTCAATCTGATTGGCTGGTGGGTGTGGCTTGTGGGTGTAGCGAAGGTATGGTCAATTTGCATGTTTCTCTTTTATTAGGTAGGATGTCCCCAAGGATGCTGATACCAAGTTAGATTTAAAGAAAAAGTTTATGTAGTATATTATTAACAAACTAGAGGCCTAGTACACAGATTCCTGTACCAGGGGGGTCCCTCAGCTGGCCTGCACCCTCTCGCAATCTGGAATCCCTCAGGAGATGTTGGACTGCGGTTTTGGCCTGATCCCCACAGGCCAGGCTGAGGGACCCATTTGTGCACTGGGCCTCTAGTATGCATATAAGATCTTTGTTTAATCTCTTCCCACTCTCCCCACTTCCCTCTGAGATTCATCAGTCTTTTCCATGTTTCCATGCCTGTGTGTTAAGTATCTGCCCCCTGGCTGTCAGTGCACATCATAGCTACCAGTTGAATGATCAAAGAGTTGAATGATCACTCAGGCATATATATATATGATCATCAGGCATATATATTTATGATCATTTTCAATTTTAGTCAATGAATTGGGACATCACAATATTCAGATAAATTAAATATATAGCTATGTCATTTATAACTTTAAAAAAAAGGTTAAATAGGACAGTTTTTGAATAGTTTATATAATAATAACCATTTCCTTTTTGTTACTAACTCATGTATTGTGATCACCAGCCTTCAAATGGCCCTCAATAGTTCTTACCTCTTTGTATTCATGTCCTTGTATAGTCCCCTCTCATATTAAATAGGGTTGGCCTGTATATCTAGGCTATGTCATAAAAGACTCTGAACATTTTGATTTGTTCCTTCTTGGGTCATTTGCTCCTCAGGAAGTCAACTGCTCTGCTGAGAAGACACTCAAGCAGTCCTATGGAGTATTTCACATGCCAAGGACCTGAGGGCCTCTTCCAACAACCAGCACTACCTTGCTAGATGTGCCAGTAAAACACCTTGAAAGCAGATCTTCCAGCCTTAGCCAGACTATCATGTGATAGCAACCGTGCTGACATATTGGCTGCAACCTCATAAAAGTATCTGAACCAGAGCCACCCTATTAAGCCACACCCTTATTTCTGTCTCAACTGTGTAACATGATAAATGCTTATTGCTGTTTTAGGCCACTAATTTTTGAAGGTAATGTGTTACACATTGATACATAACTAATGTATTTATGGGTAGCTTGCTAATCAAATTTAGAAATCCTTACACTTCATTTCATTGTGTTGAAGCATGTCGGAAATACAAGGAAGCTTCAAGATATTTCTGTCCATCGCTTTAATTCATAGATGTGTGAACAAATGTGCAGTGTGATGGTAGAAGAGGAGATACCACATGTCAGTTTTCCTTATTCTCAATCCAAGACTCTTTCTACTTGGGGGATTGTTCATTTTTTCCCTGGTGGTGGAAGATGTATGAGAGCATGTCTGTTACTGGCTCAGTGGTACCACTAGAATACACATTGCACCAACATATTGTTAAGTAGGGTAGAAAGAAGAAGTTGCCTGAATAAATCAGATCTGACTTTTCCACAGAAAAGCACATACACATCACTACAATGTTGTCATGTGAATTCTGATCTGGAGTTTGGAGACTATAGGAAATGCTTGTTGTAACCAGCCTCCTTGATGAATGTCACTTAAATGCTGCATAGAAAAACCTCTTTACTAGCACACCATTTATTTAAACTCTTTTCATGTAAATCCTTTTTCACATATCAAACACTACTCTCTACTTTCAAAGTAATAAGGAATTTAAATTAATCTGCTCCACAGTTTTGTCCATGACCAGATCTGGATTGACTGTTTCTGTAATCACTTACTTTGATAACATTGCACTACCCACGTAGTCAGTCCTGAGAATTATCAACATTGTTTCCTTTGTTAAAGTTTAACATGGAAATGGATGGTGGTTGCTTTTCCCAAAAGTTCAAAACAAACTTTGCCTGATAAAATAACAGCAAATGAAAGTTCTCCAATAATACGTGTGCTAGCACTTAGCCTGAAGAAGAGTCAGATCCCGGGAGGAAGTGTGCTTAGGTTTGCTATCACTATCAGAGTCCATTAACAGTATCCTGTCCAATAGTCTGGCTGGATAAATTCTGTTGGTTTTTAAAGATCCTATTAGTACTTCAGTTTCAATTATGCTGGGAGCTCAAAGCTGAAATACTCCATTGTAATGAGCTTGGATAATAGGACATGTAGGCTAAGGACAACAGAGGATGATATTACAGAAATGCCATTCAATGTTCTGCTGTCCTCTTAAGGACTTTTGTGAGTTGAGTGCCAGAAATCTAGCTCCCCTCCAAATGATCTATAAAATGCAGCTCCCAAAGCACATTGCTTTTCATGTAACAGCTTTTCCTAAGTATATTATACATTCTTTTCCCTGAATAGATTTTCGGTATTATATTAGACCCATGTAGACTCACTGACCGTGAGACTACTACCTTTCTTTCATCCTGATTTGAAAAATATCCCATGCTACATTGATGGAAATAGAGCCTTTATTCTCCATTCATTACTACACCTTTCTGACACTAAGGGAATAAGAGTAGAAAAAAAAAAGGGGGCACACAAAATGAAGACACGATTATAGGTGTTGACCAATGTGGAGAATTGTTAGAATAACAAGACCAATAAAGACTCCTTTTCATCAAGTTCACTTTCTAAAAATTTAGCCTTTGTTTCAAGTCTTCCAGTGAAACTATGGATGCTCACTCTAGGTGGTCATGCTTCTCTCTCTCTCTCTCTCTCTCTCTCTCTCTCTCTCTCTCTCTCTCATCTAGGTGAAAAAGCACAATTTACTATATTTATCTCATTGATGTAGAATCAGTACCCATGGTTGCAAAAATGGTCTCCCCAGAAGCAATACCCTGACTATCAAAGACCTCTCTAAAAGTAGAATTTAAAAAAAAATAAAAATATTTTATTGATTTTGTACAGAGAGGAAGGGAGAGAGATAGAGAGTTAGAAACATCGATGAGAGAGAGTCATCGATCAGCTGCCTCTTGCACACCCCCTACTGGGGATATGCCCACAACCAAGGTACATGCCCTTGATCAAAATTGAACCTGGGACCCTTCAGTTCCCAAGCCGACGTTCTATCCATTGAGCCAAACCGGTTTCGGCTAAAAGTAGAATTTTTTTTTAAGAAATAATGAGTTCTTGTAGTTCTTTTCCTTGTCTGTCATATACCCCAAAAGACCATATATTTAAGGATTAGTTTAAAATTCTAAGTAACTAAATACATGGTTGGCAGTCTGACTAAATTGTCAATGATGGTTGTCAATATGCAAAAGAATCACTGAGACCCTATAAAATAATATTCTGATTCAGAAAGAAAGGGGGGAAGGGGGGACAGGAATCTGCATTTAAACAGGCTTCCCAGGTGATTCTGATGCCAGTAGTTCACAAGCCACTTTGAGACCTATTGATCTTTAAGGAAATGGCTGGCACAGAGATGCTGTTTGTTTGATACTGGAAATTGATGAGATAATGGAATGAGTGCTGCCAGTACATGTTATCAGGGCCTCAAGTCCTCTGGCA